GGAGCCACCATACCAGGGGGACCTTGCTAGGATCCAGGGGCAAACAGCTTGGATACGTGGAGAGAGCAGGTGGGAAAGTGTGCAGGCGACACCCCTACCTGGGGCTACAAAGGTTTCTGTGGAGGACCACATAGGAAACGTTTCAGGCCCTTGTAGGACCAGAGGGAAAACTGAAGAGCTTTTGTAGATACTTATAATATTTTTAACTTTTTATTTTATTTCATTTTATTTAAAAGGGAGAAAGAGAGAGAGACAGAGATCTCCCACCCTCTGGTTCACTCCCTGAATGCCTGCAACAGAGGCTGAAGCCAGGAGCCCAGAACACAGTCCAGGTCTCCCACAGGGGTGCCGGAACCCACAGCAGAGACAGACACTAGCAGGTCGGGGTGGCGGGCGAGAGAGCGGGGCAGGGAGCAAATCAAGGGTGACGGTGGGGGTCGCAGGGGACGTCCGTCACCCGTCGGTCTTGGAGTCCCAGATACACGATGCGCCTGCCTCCCAGGAGGTGCCAAGGGGAGTCGATGAAGAGAAACACCACGGCAAGGCCGCCGCTCAAGTGGGCCGGAGCCACGAGGGCCGGGGAGACCTCACCAGGCTCCCGTCCTGCCCTTGCACGGTGGGAGCCTCGTGCTGGCTGACCCCAAGGCGGGGGGCCATCTGCTTTGTGAGTGCCCAGGCCCGAAGTCTTCGCCCGCTGCCTTGGTGTCGCCCGGTGAGCTGCAGGTGTGGGTGGGTGTCTTAGTCCCCTCTGGAAGGCAGAACAGACACCACAGACCAGGTGGCTCGCAAGCATCGGAAATCTGTTTCTCAAGGGCTGGAGGCAGGGACATCCAAGGTCAAGGGCCAGGCAGACCCGGGGGCTGCCCCCAGCCTACTTTCTGGGTCGTGGTTAGTGCCTTCCTGCTGTGTGCTCACCCGGGGCTGACGACCAGTCACTTCCGCTCTCGGGTCCACGGCCCGGGGGCAGTGGAAAGTAAGGTCTGGAGGGGCCGGCGTTGTGGAACAGGGGGTAAAGCCACCTGCGGTGCCAGCATCCCAGGTGGGCACTGGTTTGAGTCCCGGCTGCTCCATTTCCAATCCAGCTCTCTGCTATGGCCTGGGAAAGCAGAAGAAGATGGCCCAAGGCCTTGGGCCCCTGCACCTGCATGGGAGACCTAGAAGAAGCTCCTGGCTCCTGGCTTCAGATCAGCGCAGCTCCGGCCATTGTGACCAACTGGGGAGTGAACCAGTGGATAGAAGACCAACCTTTCTCTCTGCCTCTCCTTCTCTCTCTGTGTAACTCTGGCTTTCAAGTAAAATAAATAAATCTTTTAAAAAAATTTTGTTTCTTAGAGGCCAGAGCCATGGCACAGCGGGTTAAACCCCAGGCCTGCAGCACCGGCATCCCATATGGGTGCTGGTTCGAATCCTGGCTGTTCCACTTCTGATCCAGCTCCATGCTAATGAGCCTGGGAAAGCAGCAGAGGAAGGGAGACCCGGAAGAGGCTTTGAGGATTTTGGCTCCTGGTTTCAGATCGGCTCAGCTCGGGCTGCTGCGGCCACTTGGGGAGTGAACCAGTGGATGGAAGATTCTCTCTCTCTACCTCTCTGTGTAACTCTGTCTTTCAAATAAAAAAAAAATCCATTTCTCCTCAAGCTAGAGTGGACTCCATTGTCTGCAACCGCACCCCAGCTGGTTCCAGGCTCGCACTTCAACAAGGATCCCCAGGACCCTCGCGCGTCCACAGGAAGACCCCAGACTCCCGCCGTGGCTGCCAGGCAGCTCCCTGGTCACCGACGCCTCCCAAAGCACCCCAGGCGCAGACGCGAAGGGATGCTTCGCAGCGCCTGCCTCGCACGGCCAAGAAGGCAGCTGGGGTGGGGAGTGCGCGAGAGGCTCCAGTCATGGAGCATTCAGCTACGTGTCCAGCGGGCACACCCTTGACACCCCGATCTCAGCCGATCCTCACAAGCACACCCCTTTGAGGCGAGTATTCAGGACCTTCCATGAGCAACTGCTTGCAGCCAGAGGCCAGTCATGCTCATTTCAAGCCTGTTCCTGGAACGGATTCACTGTCATTTAAAAAATAAGTATTTATGTGAGAGGGAGAGAGAGACAGAGAGAGAGAGAGAGCATGCACGCATGTCCATCCACTGGCTCACTCCCCAAAAGCCTGCAGCAGAGGGTGGACGCAGCTGATGCCGGAGTGCAGAACACAGTCTGGTTTGCCCACATGGGGGCAGCAGCTGAGCCCTTGTGTCATCACCGTCTCCTCCCAGGGTCTGCATCAGCAGGAAGCCGGGTCAGGAGCTGGAACCGGGACTCAGCCCAAGCACCCTGATGTGAGACAGGAGCATCCTAATGACCAGGCCCAAAAGCCACCCCTTGAAGCGAGCAAGGTAGGAGAAAGAGAACGCTTTTATGTTTTCAAGACCATACATTTTAAAATCTTACAGCGAATGATTTTAGAAAAGTTGCAAAAGTAGCAGCAGGTCCCCATTACCTCTTGCCGGTCTGCTCCAAGGCCAACACCATCCACACGGAACATCTGTCAAAACCAAGACAGTGGCACCCGCACGGCTGCATTAAAGCGACCGCAAACTTCACTTTGCCACGAACGTCCCTTCCCTTCCCGGGCTGCACTCCAGGACGCCACGTGGCCTGGAGCACTTTTCTTTTTCCTTTTGTCACTGTGTCACCTCATTCCAGTGGAATGGGCTTCAATTATTTGCACATGCGGCGGGACGGGAACACGCACTCATTGAGTGTCAGAGCCGTTTATCCTGGATGCCGGCGGAGGAGCAGCCTCCCAGCCGAGAGCGGCAGCAGAAGACCCCGGCGGAGACCAGGCTGGCGCTGGCAGCCTCGGAGGGTCGGGACCGCGCCCCTGGAAGCCTGAACGGGGGGTGCAGGTGGGCGAGAGGAGGCTGCCGGCCAGGCGGCCAGGACCGGCCAGGCAGTGACAGAGACAGAGAGGCCCACGTCGCGCACAGCAGTCTCGCGGAGCGGGCTCCCCGGGCACACGATGACTCTCCCGCAATGAAGCGCACAGGCGTGGTTTGGGAGCCTCCGGTGGTCGCAGGGATAATGTCTCTCTCTCCAGGGCCGCCTAGTTGTGAAGACGAACACTCCCAGAGTCCTCAAACACGAGCGAATCTCCCAGCCAGGAGTCTGAGCGAGCGCCCCGCGGTAATGTCAGCTTCCGCAGGGGCTACGTGAACACGAGGGAGGCGGAGTCCAGCCTGCTCCTGACGCCTCTGGACACCGGAGTTCCCGACCCCATGCGACGCCTCCGCGACACCCCGGCCCGTTCGGGTGAGCGGTGGTCAGGGCGCACCTGTCCACTGGGCGGGTCAAAGCCCCGTGAAATCAGCGAGGACCGCGACTGGACAACCAACTCCGCGAAGTGCTAGGGGGCGGAGCATCCCCAGGAGGGCGGCTGTGTTTGCTCGGGCGTCAACAGAAGGGGCGGGGCCTCCTCACCTCGGGATGCACGGGGGCTCCTTGCTGTCCCTGGCACTGCTCAGAGACCTCAGACAGGGGCCCGCGTGGTGCAGCGGGGTCAGCTGCTGCCTGCAGCTCCGGCATCCCCTACGAGTGCCAGTTTGAGTCCCGGCTGCTCCACTTCTGATCCAGCTCCCTGCCAATGCGCCTGCGAACGCAGCGAACGATGGCACAAATGCAAAATGCTTGGGCCCCAAATAGAGTTCCGGGCTCCTGGCTTCAGTCTGGCCCAGCCCTGGCCGTCGGGAACTTTTGGGGAGTGAACCGGCAGACGGAAGAGCTCTGTCTCCCCGATCCTGCCCCCGTTCACGCCGTATTTCAAATAAATAAATAAATCTTTATTTAAAAAAAAAAAGCTTCAGGGTTCCAGAATGCTGGGTGGACCTCGCAGCTGTCCCAGGTCTGCTGTGTCGGACTGGAAAGCGGTGCTGGTGCCTGCGGCTCGCCCGCGGCGGACCGAGGCCAGCCTGGGGAGCCGGGGCTCCACTGCCAACAGCAGGGGCTTTCCACCCTCGGCCCTTCCTCGGCAGGCCTGCGTCACCGCGTCAAAAACCCGGACACCGACCTGTGCACTCTCCCCTCCTCTGAACCCAGGCCCAGAGCTAGAAGATTCTTTCTGGCGGCTCCGGACGCTCCTGGGACGGGGAATGAAAACAGCACCTTTTCCTCGCACCAGCCCGGAAGGGGTGGAGATCACTGGCGGACCCCTCTCCCCTGCGGGCCCCTTCTCCCTCTGCTCTGAGGGAGTGGGAAGATGTCCTAAGATTGCTACCTTAACATGGAAAAATCGCAGGCAAAACATCGCACGCGTTATTAAACAAGGACTTTGGAAAATTCCCACTGGGGAGAATAAGTGATATGGCAGCAAAGCCTCCTGGGAAGCGTTCAGAGCTGGAGCACACACTGTGCCTTCCTAAGCAGAGACCCTGGCCATGAACTCCTTTTCCTGGCAAGCCGGGGCCATGGGAGGAGCCTTGGGTACGATGCCACCGGCCTGGGCTCACCTGCTGCCCTCAGGTCTCCCCCTGGACGTGAGGGCGGCCTCATACTTGTCTTGCATCCAACTGTGCCGTCCTCTCCCTGTTGGCCACACCCAGCCCGCTGTGGTCAAGAAACCGGCTTCCCACGTCTAGGGAGTGTTTGCAAAACGCCCACTGCACAGGGCTGTGGTCCACGGCTGCAGCTTTGGGACTGAATGGCTGCAGTGGCCTCATGGTCCCCGCTAGAGTCCGGACACACGCAGGGCCCAGTCCCTCTGTGCAGAGCGTACTCTGGGATTTTTCAGGCCTTCCCACCCCTGGGACGGCGAGGTCTGGGTGTCTCTGAGAACAGTGCCGGTGACGCCTGGTGCTTGTGCTGGAGCGGGGTGTGACTCCTGTCCCAACTCGGTACTAATCCTGTCTGGAAAGCGGAATTAGGACGTCGTCAGCCGTAAGCACAGGTCCTCTTCCTCCTCGTCACTTCAGACAGACCCTTTCGCTCCGGAAAAAAAAAGAACTTCCAAACCGCACGCTCGTTCATAGACCAAAATAGAGATGTTTTTATTTCCAAACACAAAGCAGATACATTATAAAAAAACACAAAGCGACAAGAAAGTCAAACGACTTCTGGAACACGGCTACATCGCCTGGAACATGAAGGGAAGAACGCTACAGCGTGACCCCACACCGCAGCGCCGAGCGGGGCCCCGGGTCCCGCAGCCTCCGGGCTGGGCCGGCACGGCGGGGAGGGACCCCAGGAACCCAGATAACACACACACGGTCCAAGACAGTTGTTTGGCTCCGACACCGCTTCCCTTCCCAGAAAGCTTAACTGATTGCAAATGCGTATTTTACAGTCACAAACAACATAACACTGGATATGGTCCCTCTGCACACTCAGTACGTAACAGCACATTTGAAACAATGACATCAGCTGGCTTTTGCCACCAGAAACCACGTACGCAGCATCTACACGCGTGTACACGCACACCCCCCACCCCATCGCCTGCCTCGCACTGCGTGAGCCACTGTTCCGGCCACGCGAGCAAATGGGCAGCGTGGGGTTAGCGCACCCAGGTCCCAGGTAGGGAGGATGGGGTGAGCGTGCCCAGGCAGACGTGGCTTGGGGCAGTGCGAGTGCCGGAGTCGACAGATGCCTTCCGGCTGGGATGTTGGAGGCTCCTGCCCCTCCGCTCTGAGCCCTTCCATGGGAAGACAAGGAAACCAAAAAACCCATTCGGGTTGGAATGAAGGCTGGGCTCTGGGTTTGGAGGGGAAGGCACTCGTTCCTGCACACACACACACACACACACACACGCGCACACCAACTACACACACATCGCCCGGCCACTTCCTCCTCCCCGGCAGGACTTCTGGAACACGCACAGCCGGCTGCCCTGGCAGGAGCCAGCTCGTAGTAGACGCTGCACTCTGTGGGTCCCTGCGTCTCTGGGAGCACCAGGCAGACAGTCAGCACCTGCTCTGTGCCCTGCACTCCGTCCTGGCCTTGCCAGCTCCCGGCGGCAGCGGGGGCGTGGGCTCGTGCAGGAAACGTGCAGCCGCAGCTCTGGCGCCTCCACCAGCGAAGCGGCTGTCAACGTCACCACAGCCTGTGGCCTGCAAAGCAAAGCAACTGCAGCCAAGGCGAAGTTCTAGGAGTGACAGCAACGTCGGGCCTGGAGCCACGCTCCCAGGGCTCAAGTGCCAGGCTCGCTGCTCACCACCTGGCCGGGTGCTTTACCCACCTCTGTGCTCCGCCTTCAGTGTGCACTCGTAGCACAGGCGTCTGGGAGTCAGGGCCCCACTGGGGGGCCTCACCTGGCTTCCTGCTCTGCCTTTATCATCACAGCAGGGGAGGGGCTGCACACCTTTGACCCCCATCCCTACAGAGGTGCCCCGGCAGGGACAGGCCTGCTGACCCGCCCACTGGGCTCAGAAGCATTCCAGAACGGAAGCCCAGGACCCCTTGGGGGAGACTGAGGTTCCTCCCGGAGTTTGCTGACTCCTGTCCAGAGGAGGTGGTCGGGTATCAACTTGGGAGCAGCTGTAACCATGACAACCACGGGCAGGTGCCAGGCGATGCTGAGTCCTGCTGGCCACTCTCCAGGGCTCTCAGATTTGCTTTTAGACCATGAATCTCTGCTTTATAATTTCCCTTTCAAAACAAATCCCCGTTGGTCCTACTTGGACAAACACAGGTGTTCTCTGGGGGAGAAACGAGGCCTGCCTTCCAGCCCCGACTGTGGCCCCTGCTGCGGGAGCCCGGGTCTCGGTGGGTGACGGGGGCCACCTACGAGTGTTCCTGTTTCCTTTCAAGGCCTCAGTGCCTGCTAGAAAACTGGCAGTGGCTGGGAAAAGCTCAGGATCTGAACCCAGGAGCTCCTCATGCTCAAGAAAAAAAAAAGTGAACAGAAATTTGCTGCACGGAAAGCAAACACAGGGCATGAAAAAGCTGGGCCCTGGGGAGCACAGCAGGGTGGGGGGCTGGGCCCTGGGGAGCACAGCAGGGTAGGGGGCAGGGCCCTGGGGAGCACAGCAGGGTGGGGGGGCTGGGCCCTGTCTACACACAGACCCAGCCCCGCAGGGTCGACCAGGCCTCGTGAGAACATCTGCCAAACCTGGGGGACCTAAAGGCTCCTGGCCGTGGTGCCAGGTCATTCTCAAGTTCAAGGGTGAGCATCTCCACGTTCTGTTGGCAGAGACAGCCAGACCCGGAGGCTTGGGCTTCTCTGCCTGTGGAATTGACATCCAGGTACCGCCCTAATCCATCCTCCCCACTTTTCTCAAAGAGCCCCGTCTTGCTGGGGGCGTGTTCCCAGACAAGGGGAGCCCCGTCTTGTTGGGGGCATGTTCCCAGACAAGGGGAGCCCCGTGACAGTGTCCTGGCCAACAAGATGAGGGTGAAAGTTGTCAGAGGAGCATCCGGGAAAACAGATTCACTAAACTCACTCCCTTTCTTCCTGCCTGGGATCTAGATGAGAAATTGGAGGTAGAGCAAGCACAGTGGGCCACGAGGTTGTCGTGACCGCACAGAAAAGCAAGCTGACACCCGCTGGCCTTGACACCTCCCAGCTGCAGAAGCGGCAATGGGATTTCTCAAGATGAGAGCAAGGTCGAGTCACTATCAGTCTGAGCCACAGCTGGCGGGGGAGGGCGACTTTGTTTCCTCCAGACAGGAGCCCGCCCTTGTATTTCCAGAATACACAGCAGCTCAAGGAGTCCAAGAGGCTCCTGGGTAATTTTCCCTTTCACCACTAGGAAGGGAGGAGGCAGCAGTGAACTGGCCTACGGCCACACGGCCCAGGACCAGGAGAGCCCAGGCTCAGCCCCGGGCACTGCTGTGCAGGGTCACGTTGTCACCCAAGGAATGCACAGACCTAGCCCCACCTCTGGACGAACTCCCTGAGCTCACTGGGTAAGCAGGAGCTGCTGGGCCTCACTGTTCTAACCTGTAAAATGGGCACAAAGCTGAACCAAGACAGCCTGAAAAAATAGGCCCGCGGAGGAGCAGTTAACACTTTCCGCTCTGCTTTACCTCCCATTACCTTAGTTTGTCTCCCCCAAGAACAAGATGAACAAAAAGTGATTTCTGATTGGGTACATTCTAATAGGAGGTTTTACATATATATGGAATTATATATATATGGAGTTATATATACATATATGGAATTACATATATGGATTTACATATATATAGAATTATATATTTATAGAAGAAGGAAATCAGAATGAGGGGGCTGCCATCTGCTCTAAGGATGTCAAACAGACTTCTCTCATCTGTCAAATATGATTGATTGGCAGTTGAGAGGGACTTAGGACCATGAGCTCTGTTCAGGCTGCATCAGGGAGAGGACTACCTCGGTGATCCATTACTGCTGTCTGCTGTGGCTGCAGTAAGGGATGTGGGGCCCACACCTCTCCTCCCACGCTGACCTGGACCTGTGGCAGCTGGACTGGGGTGCGGAGAGTCGGGGGAGCTCCTGCTGCATTAGCTGAGCTCGCATGAGAGATGGAATGAGCACATCCAGGGACACAAAGTGCCTGGTGACCACTGCACTGCCTCCAGGGAGAGACACTAGGACAGCAGACATCGAAGGAAGCTGCTGGCATCTCAGGACTCCTGCAGCAGGCAGGGAGCGGGGCCCAAGAGCTGCAGACCCAGCCTCCTCGGGGGTCCCTCAGCTCCTCTGCTCTGTGACCCATCAGCAGGAAGTGGGGAATGGCAGGAGTTCTTCCCAGTTCACGGACAAGGGATCCACACAGTAGGCACACAACCGACGTGGAAAACCCTCCACGGGCAGAGTGCGATTCTCAGCTTGGTACTTCCAATTTTTACCAAGATTACAGACTAACAGTGGTGCTAACAGTAGAGACGACACAATGTGGGGTGTTTGACTCAGCTCCCCCTCGAGCCTACACCCCGAGACCCAGCACAGCCCGAGGATGCACCTGCCAGCCCTGGTGGTCCAGCAACTCGGTGGCCACGGTAATCTCCAAGAGGCAGCAAGCTACCCCCACGGCCATCCTGAACTCCGGCAGGTCTCCTCCACGTGGCCCAGCCACCCCAGGGCAGGCAGAGGAGCAAAGTCAAGGGCAACGGCCCAAGTGTGCTTTGGCTTCTTCTAGGGCACAAACCCTTTCCCTGGTCTCTGGGTGCCTGGAGAGCAGGAGCTGCACAAGCCTGGAACGGAGACAGGACTTGGAGAACACTCACTGCCTTGGATTAACAGGAAGAGGCGCAGGCTGCCCGCTGACCAGAGGCCAGGAAGCAGATTCTGGGCACATACGTGGCCGTGGCACCTCGGAGCCAACACATGTACTTTTACAGGTCTTAGCTGCAAGGCTCCTGGCCTCCCCATGCCCAGCCGCCATAAATCACCATCTCACTCCCCTGTAGTCTTGCATTGACAACAACACGTGAACAGAGCTGGGATGTGTGACTTCGCTAACTCCTAACACTGGAGAAGACAGTGTTCTGTATCCATCCAACCGCTCTGTTCACTTTTGCTCTCCTCTCAGACCTCCCATGAGCTGGGATTCCCTCCTGCACTGGAAGACCAAACCACTGTCCTGATACCCTCCGCTCACACATTCCCCAACTCCTTCTCTTTCCCCGCCTTCTCCAGCCCCGGGCCTCCCACACGTCAGGATCTCCCCTTCTCCCAGAAAGAACACGAAGTTGGCGACTTTTGACTCCGCCCAACGAGGATTCAAGACAGACCCCACACAGGAAGACACAACTCTGTCCCCGCAGGCCACTGAACGTGGGCTCCTGAGGAAGGACACGCTCTCGGGATGGAGTCGTCATCCTGATAAAAAAGACCCCAGGGAGAGGCTCAGCACCTGGGCCCTCCTCCTCCTGGCTCTGTCTTCGCTCAGTGGAAGCTTTGCCGCTGCCGCCTGGCCGTGGGTGAGCCCTGGCTACCAGAAAGGCACAGCCCAGCTGTCACTGTCTCTCCCTTTTCTCTCAAATGGTGGCAGACACACGCATAGCATTTTAACCCTTTTAACCACTCGGGTCGGAGGCACGGAGCCTGGGGTGGCCCTGGTGTCGGACTCCCTCTGCCCCACTTGCTGGGTGCCCTCGCCAGACCAGCTCACTGTGCGCCTCTTCCCCTGCTCGGGCCTGTCTGCAGTCCACCAGGGGAGACGAGGTCCCCTCCTGCCCTGTCTCACTCTGTCCTGCGGGGCAGGTGGGCCAGTGCTGCCCAGTGGCAGCACAGGAGAGGAGCCATTGGTTGCCCAGGCCCCCGGCTGCGGAGCGCCCCCAGCTGCCTTCCCCTGGAACTGCCCAGGGACAAGCGTGGCTGCAGGCTGTCCCTGCAGGTGGCTCTGAGACAGAGCCTGAGATGCAGCTGGGCCATACATTCAGGGGCCCTCCTGTGTGCCCACGAGGGGCGTGGAGTGCCAGCAAACACACTCGCCTCTGGGTTTTTAACGGAAGACAACAAAACCCAGCTGGGGGCCGTCATTCATGGCCGTGGCCCTCACTGCAGGGGGGGGAGGGGCTGAGCTCCCAGGGGGCCAGAAGTCGCCCTCTAGAGCCGACTGAAGATATCAGGTAGACGACACGGGGAACGTCACTCTCCTCGGAGCGAGAGCCTGTCTGTGCGCACAGAACCCGCTCCCAGGGGCTGCAGACACGGCGACCTGCTGGAGCCATCCCAAGCCCTTCCCCACCACCCACCCCTGCCCCGGCATGGGCTCTGGGGCCACACCTGGCTTCAAATTCCACTTCCACATGGACAACTGTCTATGTGTCCAGGCCCCCAGGTTCTCATCTCAAAAGGGGGCCTGGCCCTGCGCAGCCTTGCAGGGCAGAAGGCTTGCAAGGGGCCCCCCAGGGGCAGGCCAGTAGGAACCAAACCAATGAGCTCCTTGTCTGCACTTCCTGTATCCCCGTCACCCTCCCGCTGGCACGTCCAGGCGGCTCCTGGCCTCATGCGGCACCCCCACCCCCTGCCTTGTGCTCTCTGCCAGACCCTGTGTGCCCCTTGCCACACCCAGGGCAGAGTGAGGAAGGGCAGGGCGCGTGGGCCAGGCAAGGGGGCGCTGACAGCATGGGTGTGACCCACCTGTGCCTCTTTCTACCCCCCCCCAGCCACATGCACACATACACACGACAGTCACACGACTCTCAGGCTCCTCTCGCTCCGGGGACACAGGAAGCACGCACACACCCACGCGGGCTGCATGGCAACTTGGCAGTTGTCAAACAGGCTGCTAGCAAGGTCCTAACAGAATAATCGCCCGCGCTCGCCATGAGGAGCACCGGCAAACGGCTCTTCCGTGTCATCCCAGCTGCCGGATGGGAGAGCAATGAGGATAGCAATTCTCTCTCCTTTTTCAAAAAGTTATGTGAACAGACGACTCGACGGCACCACCATCAAAGTTTAGAACAGGTACAGCTGTCCACAGCCGCACTCTCCCTCCCCTCCACGCCGCCCCGGGACGCGACCGCATCACGTGGAATGGGGAACGCTGGAGGTTGCTGCGGGGGAGGGAGGGGTTCTGTTCGCGTGAGCACAGCACTGCCTGGAGGCCCGCAGCCTCTCACTGGGTGGCCAGGGCCAAGCGCCCAGCGCCCAGCCCTCTCTGGGCCTCTGCTTTCTCACCTGGGAAGTGGGAGAGTAGGAATCGGCTCTGGCCTCAGCGAGCTGCCAGGCTTGGAGGCGGGGCCTGAGGCTTGGGTTTGCCTGCTTGTGGCTTGGTTTGCAAAGTGTCCCTGGGACAGTGTGCTTGTTGAGTCGGTGCCAAGAGCTCCCCAGGGAGCAGGCCTCCTACCCTCGTGAGGGGAGCTCCAGCCCTTCCCTGCTTCCTGGGGCCAGATGCGAGGCCGGGAGGGGCCGGGACATGCCTGGGGCCCTCTGTGCCTTTCCAGGTAAAACGCTCTATGAGCCCGAGGTCCAATACAGGGCCTGAGCAGCCTGCCTCTGGGACTCCTAGGTGCAGCCAGAAACAAAAGCCATTGGAGAAAGGGGGCACGGAGTATCTTTAAAACAGGGACACGTTCGCAGAGGGCAAATGCGATGTTGTAAAGCACTTAGATGTCACCCCAGAGCCCCTGGCCCAGCAGGGATGTGTTTCTGGCCTCATCGCCCATGTGGAGTCACCCTGTCCCCGCCCCAGGTGGGGTGTGGCATAGAGCCCACCTTCCCAGATCTGGCCGAGAAGGCCTGGTTCTGGACCCGAGTGGGCCACATGGGGGACAGGCTGGCCAGCGGATCTGGAAGAGGTGGGAGGGCTGTCTCCAGCAGGGACCCTTGCTCCCCAGGGCTTGGCACAGCAGGTGCCTCTCTCCTGAACCTTCAGCTGACCCCTGACCGTGAACCTCCGGTGCCAGGGGACAGCAATGACCCGGCTCCCCCTGGGGCTGTGGGGGTGCAGTGCACAGAGTGTGCTTGGAAGTCTTGAGAATAAAGTCTGTGTCCTTCCCTGCCCCTGAACAAAACACGGGGAGCACAGTCTGGCCGCTTCCTGGAGGGCCACTGCCACGCCCGTGGACAGGAGCTGTGGTCCGTGCTGTCGGTGAGCCTGGGTTCCTGCCCTTGATGCCTTGTCCGGCTTTGCTTTGGGGCCCTGCCCCCGCCCCCCCACCCCCCTCAGCCCCCGTCAGGCTGCCCTGTGTCCCTGTCACTCCTCACTGCCGTTGCCGGGCCTGCCTCTGGCCGTCGCCATTTCTACTTCCACCCCACAGCACAGAACTGTGGTGGGTTTGGGTTTAGAAGCAGAGAAGCAGACGGGCGCGTGCATTCTCACTGTGCCCACAGTGGTCACCAGCCTGGGCGTGAGGGCCTGGGCCGCGCTCCTGTGCCGATGTCACCAGGCTTGTTCACAGACTTCCGGGTTTGGGGCTGGCTTCTGGAAGAGGGGCTGCCGGTGCTGCCGGCAAGCCAAGGCACAAAGGCTACCAAGTCTCCCCGGAGAGGCCCCCGCTAGGAACCTCCGGGGACACGAACAGACACGCCGTGTGACAGCAGACGGAGCATGTACACAGGTGTCGCTGGGTCACACTGGCACACACAGACGGAGGCGACGCCGTACCCAAGGCAAGCTGGTGCTGGGAACTCGGACCCAGGACTTGTGCTCAGGCGGCTCTGCTTCCAGGCTCCCCCGGGACGTGCGTGCCGGGACGGACGGAGGCCGGTGAAGCTCAGCTGTGGCCCTGGCGGGCTAGGTGGGCGGGGGGCCGCTGTGGCGCAGCGTGAGCGTGAAGGAGCGGGCGAGGTTGTTGGCCAGTGAGCAGCTGCGGGCCTCCTCCCCGACGGGCAGCAGGAACAGCAGGAGCAGCAGCAGCAGTAGCAGCACCTGCAGCGGGAGCGCCGTGCAGCAGGCCTTCCGGAGGAGGTGGCCGAGGCCTCGCCGCCGCCGCCGCGTCTGTGGACAAACCCAGGACGTGTGAGCGGGCGCAGGGCCAGGGGCACGCCAGGGGCAGCGGCGGGGCTGGACGGACCCTGTGACCTCACACGCCTCGGTTCTCCCATCTGTGAGATGGGGCCGAGGTGAGTTTTGCCAGAAGCAAAGATGTCCGCAGGCTCGGGCCAGGGCCGATGACGGTGAGGATGACCGTGGTGGTGGCTGGGTGGCAGTGATGTCTGAGGGTGGAGGTGATGGCGGTCACTATGCTGGTGAAGGAGTATGCAATGGTATTGATGCTAGTGGTGGTGGCGACGATGGTAGTGGTGGTGCTGGTGATGGTGATGATGGTGGTGATGGTGGTGGTGACGGTGGTGGTGATGGTGGTGGTGACAGTGGTGGTGATGGTGGTGATAACAATGGTGGTGATGGTGGTGGTGACAGTGGTGGTGACGGTGGTGGTGATGGTGGTGATAACAATGGTGGTGATGGTGGTGGTGACGGTGGTGGTGACGATGGTGGTGATGGTGGTGATAACAATGGTGGTGATGGTGGTGGTGACAGTGGTAGTGGTAATGGTGATGGTGACAATGCTGGTGATGGCAATGGTGTTTATGCTGCTGGTGGTAGTGACGATGCTGGCAGTAGAAGTGTAAGGGTGATTGTAGCGAGGGTGGTGAGGACGGTAATGGTGATGGTGGTGATGACAGTGATGGTGGTGCTGGTGTTTATGCTGGTGGTGACGGCAGTGGTGGTGATGATGGTGATGGTGACAATGGTGGTGGCAGTAGAGGTGGAAGGGTGATTGTAGCAAGGGTGGTGGTGGTGACAATGGTGGTGATGGTGGTGGTGATGATGGTGATGGTGACAGTGGTGGTGATGGTGGTAAGGATGATTGTAGTGAGGGAGGTGGTTGTGGTAATGGTCATGTTGGTGGTGATGATGGTGACGGTGATGGTGGTGATGACAGTGATGGTGGTGCTGGTGCTGGTGTTTATGCTGGTGGTGATGGTAGTGGTGACGGCAGTGGTGGTGATGATGGTGATGATGGTGCTGGTGACAACGGTGGTGGCAGTAGAGGTGGAAGGGTGATTGTAGCAAGGGTGGTGGTGGTGACAATGGTGATGGTGAGGGTGAGGGTGAGGGTGGTGGTGGTGATGGTGGTAAGGATGATTGTAGTGAGGGAGGTGGTTGTGGTAATGGTGATGTTGGTGGTGATGATGGTGACGGTGATGGTGATGATGACAGTGATGGTGGTGCTGGTGATGGTGGGGCCTATTCCTCTGCCATTGAGGACAGGAGAGGTGTAGGCGTCCTGGGTTCTAATCTGGCTCCACCGCGTCCCAGTGGTGTGGGCCGCTCAGCCTCTCTGAGCCTGGGGGAGGGGAGGGTGTGCCTCCTGCCAGAGCCACAGCACAAGTGAGGGACGGGTGCAGCGTTCAGCACCTGAGTGGGTGCTGAGTAACAGCACAGTCCCCTCCCCCTCCCACTGGCACTGCCGGGACAGCAGGGATCCGACGCCATCAAGCACAACCGTCCTCAAGCCCACCTCGGCTCCTTGGAACCTTCACGCCCTCCTGCCACAGGGCCTTTCCACGGCCATGCATTCTACCTGGGATGCTCGATTCTCCCCGCTCCGTCCACCTGCTCGCTCCACTCTCAGCTGCGTTACTTCCTTGGGGAGGGCCTCCCTGCCTGCATCACACACCCTCACGGTGCCCGGGGTCCATCACACACCCTCACAGTGCCGGGGTCCATCACACACCCTCACAGTGCCCGGGGTCCATCACACACCCTCAAGGTGCCCGGGGTCCATCACACACCCTCACGGTGCCCGGGGTCCATCACACACCCTCACAGTGCCCAGGGTCTCTGCTCTGGGGCGCGGGCTGGGCTCTGACTCCCTGGTGGTGCCCGCCAGCTTGGTTCGCTCTGTGTTCAGCAGTGCACACTGCAGGACGTCTGGAATGTCAACCTCCTTTCCTCCCTGCCCCACTGGCCACCCACTCCCCCCAGGTGCCCAGGCGATGAGCACACAGGTACCTGCTGACCACTGTCCTGGACCTGCTCCCACCATCCCAGCGGCCCACTGAGAACATCTGGGCTCCACCCGTGATAGACGGTGATGATGGAACACATCCCAAAGGCTTGAGCTGAGGAGCTGAGTGCAATCCCCTCACTCTGAGCCCCTTCAACAGCCCTGGAAGGGAGAGAGGCTGTCCTGTGCCCATTTTACAGAAGGGGAAACTGAGGCTACGGGAGAATAACCAGCCAGAGCATTGCTCCAAAGCCGAGGCTCTTTCCACCACCCTACATGGGGTTTCTCTCAACTTGCATCACCAGTTCTGGGACACACGGCCATGCCATGTCCCTGGGTGAGACGCTGGGGAGATGCCACTCCTGTAGCCTCCTGCCAGGGATACCCACCTGTGCCCAATCCCAAGGAAACTCCAGAGTCACCCACACAGGGACCATTCACAAAGGCCAAGGTCAGGAAAGGTTAAGAAAAACCGAGGCATAGCACTGGATCAGAGGACACTGAAGAGACGTTGCGGTGTGAGCTGCTGTGAGGACCCTGGCCCAAGGGAGACTGTGTGGACCCTGGGCCGAGGGAGACTGTGTAGACCCTGGCCCGAGGGAGACCGTGTGGACCCTGGCCCGAGGGAGACTGTGTGGACCCTGGCCCGAGGGAGACTGTGTGGACCCTGGCCCGAGGGAGACTGTGTGGACCCTGGCCCGAGGGAGACTGTGTGGACCCTGGCCCGAGGGAGACTGTGTAGACCCTGGCCCGAGGGAGACCGTGTGGACCCTGGCCCGAGGGAGACTGTGTGGACCCTGGCCCGAGGGAGACCGTGTGGACCCTGGCCCGAGGGAGACTGTGGACCCTGGCCCGAGGGAGACTCATCTATCAAAGCACAGCAGGGTGTGTGCATCCACAGGGAGGAATGGGACTCGGGGGTAAGAACAAGTGGACTGTGCGTCCTAAAAAGACACGGAGGAAGTCTGAATGCATGGGGGAGGGGAGACGGGAAGAGCCCAGGGAGATGACACTCCCCTGGCCCACAGCAGGCAGACAGCCACACTTGGGGTCCAAGTTCTAGCCCAGTAGCCCCCACTTCCACCACGACCAGTGGCCTCCAGGTTCCACCAGGGCCTGGCATCCAGTAGTGTGTGGTTCGAGACCTGTCCCTGGTGCGTCCCCAGTGCCGCTCAGGTCTCTGGCCAGATCCGACCTGCCGAGTGCCGAGTGCCGAGTGAATCGCACAGGTCCCAAGTCACTGCTGCCGCCTCCGCCCCAACCCCAGTGTGCGCTCAGCTGCCAGGGGTGGGGGGAGGCAGGAGCTCGTGAGCGCTCACCGCAGGCCCGAGCAGGTGCAGCATGGTGCCGGGCACACACATCAGGGCTTCTTTTACACATCACACTTCTTGGGAGGAAAGGGTAGCATCGACCATGAAAAAGTCACCAAAGCTTCCCGAGATTGGGTATTAGACTACACTGTCAACCAGGGACGCGGATCATCAGACCAACGCGTTATTTTACAGAGCACAAAGAAAGAAAAGGACAACACAGGGGCAGCAGGCTGCCCACGGCCAGAGACGCTGGCTGCTGCTCCACTTCCGATCCAGCTTCCACTAGTGCACCTGGGAGGCACCAGAAGACGGCCCAAGTACTCGGGACCCCTGCCCCCATGGGGGGACCAGAATGGAGCTCCTGGTGAGTGAACCAGTGGATGGAAGATCTCTCCTTGTCTGTCTCTCCCTCTCTCTGTGTCACTCTGTTTTTTCAAATAAGTAAATCTTGGGGGGAAAGGGAAAGGGAAAGGGAAAAGGAAGGGAGACGAAGCATCCGACTGGGGAACCACATAAACCTGGGACTGCCCTCATTGCAGGGCAGGGGAGCGAGGGGCGGACCCGACGCGCAGAGAGGGGAGACAAGGCACTGGGGGAGCCGGGGAACCAGAGCGCTTCCCGAGGATCTGAAGCACAGGCCCGCAGGCCGCACTGCCGCCGGTCTGAGTCCACGGCCAGCACAGTCCACTGCCCACCGCAGGGGTCTGCATTTAAAGACATCTCAGGCTGGGGGCTGCAGGGAAGAGGACCAAATCCTCCCCGGGAAAGCAAGGCTGAAATGAGACCCCCGGGTTGCAGAGATGTGGACGCACAGACCCCACGAGTGCCGGAGCCCGCGGCGGCTCCTCCCAACTCCTCCAGGTCCGCGTGTCTGAGATGCGGCTGCTGCGCACCCTTCATGGAAAACGGATTCAAAGAGAAGTGAATCTGGGGCAAAGGTTTTGCAACTCATGCTTAGGCTGGGTCTTCAAAAATCTCGCGAGAATTTTATATTATGAAAAAAACTGCCTGCATTTGTAGATATTGTTGCACCAAAGTAAGCCTATCTTTTAAAAATCTATTAATTGGGGCCTGCGCTGAGGCATAGTGGGTAAAGCCGCCTCCTGCAGTGCCGGCATCCCATATGGGCACCGGTTCGAGTCCTGGCTGCTCTGCTTCCAATCTTGCTCTCTGCTATGGTCTGAGAAAGCAGTAGAGGATGGGCCAAGTCCTTGGGCCCCTGCACCCGCGTAGGAGACCTGGAGGAAGCTCCTGGCTCCTGGCTTCGGATCAGCACAGCTCTGGCCATTGCAGCCATCTGGGGAGTGAACCAGCAGATGGAAGACCTTTCTCTCTTTCTGCCTCTCCTTCTCTCTCTGTGTATCTCTTTCAAATAAATAAATAAGTCTTTTAAAAAATTATTCATTTTTTGAAAGGCAGAGCATCAGAGAGGGAGTAACGAGAGACTGTCCATCCACTGGTTCATTCCCCAAGTGACCACAATAGCCAGGAGGAGCCTGCAACTCCATCCGGGTCTCCCACGTGGGTGCAGGGCCCCAAGCACTTGGGCCATCTTCTGCTGCCTTCCCAGGGGCATTCGCAGGGAGCTGAGTTGGAAGTGGAGCAGCTGGGACCTGGCACTCCTCTGGGAGGCCGGTGTTGCAAGCGGAGGGTGAACCTGCCACACCACGTCGCCGGCTCTTCCCCTGATCTGTTCATTCCACGTTCCATGAACGCTTGAAGTCCCTGTGAACGCTCCCAATGCATGGGCAGCATCTGCTTCCGGCCCCGGCACGCCGGCCCTGGCCTGGAGAGGCATTTGCCAAGCTGTTCCTCAACTGAAAGTCTGTGTCTGTCCCGGGGCCAGCACAGGACGTGACTCGACTCACGGCCTCACCACCAGCAGGAAGCTGAGGGCTGCAGGCAAACCATCAGGGCCCAGAGCTGCCAAGCGTGGAGGCGGCTGCAGACGGACGCATCCCCCGGTTCTGTTTGTACAAACCAGCAGGTTGCAGCCGCTGACGCAGCCCGAGACGGGCAAGAAACGTGTGGAAAACCAACTGCTCGTAAATAATTAGCCGGGCACGGGCAGCAGGCTTGGCTTCTTTCCTCGAGATGAAAAATAACGCAGGCTGCCTGGCGGCATGACAGCCTGGGCCCGCCAGGCCTGCGGGTGGATGGGCACACGCACACGCGTGCACACAACCCACCCAGCGAAAACACGAGGGCCAACCCCCAGGGAGGGTTTCCCTCCGGAGCGTCACTGCCGCCTCTGCTCCCGGAAAGAAAAACAGGGGCGGTGTGAGCAGGTCTCGGGTCCTCACTGACCTGGCAATGGGGACCTACTGTGCACCGGCTGTTACGACAGCCACTTTGCCCACCGTGAGCTCAGCCCACCTTCACTGTCCCCAGTGGGAGACGCTGGTTAAGTGACTCACCAAAGGTCATGCGCACTGATGGTGGGGGCTGGATTCGAACCCAGAGCACTAGGCAGTGGTTTTCTCTCTCTCTCTCTCTCTCTCTCTCTCTCTCTGTTTGTAAAGATTTAATTTATTTATTTGAAAGGCAGAGTGAGAGATCTTCCATCTGCTGGTTCACTCCATTAACAGCTGCAACAGCTGGGGCTGGGCCAGGCTAAAGCCAGGAGCCTGGAACAAGTCCATCTGGGTCTTCCCTGTGGCAGCAGGGGACCAAGTACGTGGGCCATCTTCCACTGGTTTTCCCAGGGAGCAGAAGTGGCGTAGCCAGGGCATGAACCAGTGCTCTGGTGCGGGATGCCAGTGTTGCAGGAGGTGGCTAACCCTCACTGGCAAACTGCAAGCCGTGCTTCTCAAAGCATCCCCAGTCAGCAGCATCCGCCTCACCTGGCGTCAGAAATGCAGATTCCTGGGCCATTCCAGCCCATAGGAGTCAGCCACTCTCGAGTGGGGCCTCGCGACCCTTGTTGTCATCTGTGCTGCATGTGGGCCAAAGTTGGCCTCCGTGTACTAACCTCCAGGTTCCTACATCCCAGCAGGCTCAAAGGCGGGCCAGCCCCAAGGTCAAACTTCTACACAGCCAGGTTTCCAATTTAACCCAAGCAGGCAGTCGCACAGCCACGAAAAGCCCTCCTGCTTGGAACTCCCTGGAAAACCGCACCCACACCTGGCAGCCAAGGGTAAGATCAACCCTGGGGTTAAAGACCCCAAGATCTCTCTCTCAGTCTCTCTCTCTCTCTCTCTCTCAATTCTGTCTCTGGCTTTCAAGCAGGTAAAAATAAACACACTAAAAAGTCCCATTCTACAGATGGGGCAAGTGAACCCCAAGAGGCAGAGGGTTTTCACAGGACCACAAAGCCGGTGGCTTCTGGAGCCGGGGCTCAGCACCAGGCTGGTGACTGCCCCGCCCAGTCCTCCAGGTCCCCAGAGCCCTGCAGGTGTGACACAGGACGTCAGCCTAGCACCAGGCGTGCACAAAAGCTGTGGAGCGGGAGCACTCATGAGTAGGGTGCGCTGGTGGCTCCTGGGGTCGCGATGGGCCACTGCCAGGCGTTGCCTTGGAAACCAGAGCGCCAGAAAAGTCCTCTCCATCGGGCTTTGTCAGGCCCAGGAAGAACTTCTCCGAGGCGCGGAGCAAGAGCCGACAGCGTGGGCTTTAGCAGCCTGCGCAAGCAGGTGCTTCCGGCGCTGCCGTTTCTTCCCCACAGCGTACAGCTGAGACAGCAACGGCGCAGGCGTCCACACAGACACCCCAGCCGCACCCTAGCACAGCTCTTCATGGGGACACAGCAGACGCCCGACACGGAGCGTTTACAGTGACAACCGTCTCGCTCGTCGTCATCCTGCACTGCTACCATCCTTGCTGTCGCTTTGTCCTGCCAAGCCACGGGAGTAGCTCTGCCCACGGCTCTGTGGGTGTTAGTGGGACACCACCTGCCCCGCTGGGCTGCACAGACCCCTCCGTTGATCCCCAGGGTATTCACACAGCCCGGGCTTCCTGCGACAGTGACCCGTTGTCACGGTATTACCAGCATCCTAGGCTGATAAATCCAGGGTCCCTTCTCCATCAGGTACCTGTCATGGCCCCAGCCAGCTTCTCCCAGCTTGGAACTTCCTGACAAGGTCCCCCCACCCCAGGGAGGGGGAGAGGCCAGCGCACAGTGCAGCTCTGGACTGATTCCCACAAATGTTCCCCAGCCATCATGGGACTTTCCAGAAAGCCCAGGAGTCCTGCCCCGTGCCACAGGCCCTGCAACCCTGCCCTCTTGCCGTGCGGAGCAGATGGCGGACCCTGTACCTTTTGGAATCCAGTCGGCTCCCCCGGAGAACTCTGCGTCTGTTATTTTAGGGAAGGGAGGAAAAGGGGCAAAGAAAAAAAAAAGTTAAGTGAGTGAAACTGAAGTCCCAGCAGGGCTGTCATGGAATATGCATTTGTCAGGGGGGTGTTTCCTGAAAGCCACGGTCATCTGGACAGCCTGAGCCAGCAGGTGATTCCATTTAATGAGCTTTTTAACACACTTCAGGCCCAGCTGGGATTTCTGTCTGGGAAGGCCTTGCCCAGGCCGGCCGGGAGCAGGCTGGGAGGGGGCTGGCTGCTGGCTGGGGCTGGGCTGACACCTAGTGGCCGTCAAGGCTGTGACAGGGCCAGGAGAGACTGGTGTCGGGGTCCCAGGCCTGAGAGGAGGAGGCTCTTGGAGGCCACTTGGCTCACATTCCTCCTTGGACACAGGAAACACAGCCTCTGTGCCTCAGTTTCCCCTTGGTTCACAGGGAATCATGACAGCATCTCCTATATGGGATTGTTGTGGCCGTGGCCGTTTAATAAATGTTGTCATGAAGTTAGCCTTTACCACTATTGTCGTTATTATCACTGCTTTGCATGGGAGACACGGGGGTCCCCAGATGGCAGGTGCTTGCTCAGAGCCACAAAGCAAGTGGCCAGCACTGTGGCATAGAGAGTAAAGCTGCCGCCTGAAGTGCTGGCATCCCATATGGGCGCTGGTTCGAGACCCGGCTGCTCCATTTCCGATCCAGCTCTCTGCTGTGGCCTGGGAAAGCAGTAGAAGATGGTCCAAGTCCTTGGGCCCCTGCACCCGCATGGAAAGACCGAGAGGAAGCTCCTGGCTCCTGATCAGTGCTGCTCCGGCCGTTGTGTCCAATTGGGGAGTGAACCAGCAAATGGACGACCTCTCTCTCTCTCTCTCTCTCTCTCTCTCTCTGGCTCTCCTCTGTGTAACTCTGACTTTCAAGTAAATAAATAAATCTTTTTTTAAAAAAAAAAAAAGCAAGTTAGTGAAGGAGCCAGGGCCACACCCCAGGCTCTGATGCCCAAGTCAGGACTTCTATGGAAGGTTGTGCTTAATGCTGGCTTTGCCACTGACTGCCAGGGTGCCCTTGGCAAGCTTTTTAGCTTGGAGGTCGATGCCTCCAGCAGTGGGTGGCTGCGGGGACTGCACACAGAGCTCTCAGCGGGGAGGGCAGCAAGCACTCCCTGCACGTTAACCATGAGGTGACTGTGGCCGTGGCTGGGACTGTGGCCGTGGCCGGGACTGTGGCCTCACAGCGCGGCAGACAGCCTGGGAGACTGCACAGGCCAAGTGCCTTGGAACCACAAGTCCCCTCCCCTCTCTGTGCATAAAGATGGATGGGGCCCAGCACGTGCAGTCAAGCAGCCCCTCCAGGTGCACTTGGGCCCAACTGTGGTCCCTTCCCCGGGGTCTAGGACCTGGGCACCCTTTGCACCTACCAGCAGGTGGCTGGAGTCCTTGAGCTTGGACTTGTACAGCATCCAGCGGTAGCGCAGATCCTCCAGCTCATCCGAGGTCCCCCTTGCTGGTCTGAGACGAAGGAGGGTCTCAAAGAGATGTTGGCCTTCTGGCACCCGAGCATCCAACTCCTAGGGTGGGGGGAGAAGGCCGTGTTATGGCCCGGTCAGCCTCACCCAGCTGGGAAGAGCAGGCCAGTCGAGCACTGGACAGGCAGGTGCACAGGGAGCAGGCAGACGGCATCTGGACGTGAGAGACTCTCATCTCTGCAGTACACACCGAGGAGCGGCAATGACTCTGGAAACTGCCATAGCGTGGCCTCCCGCACAACAGGGGCAGTCAGACTGCTGACTTCCTGTTGTGACTTGCAGTGCGACAGTCCAGGGCACGTCCCCCAGAGGGAGTCTCGTAATTACTGTTGAACACGTGTTTCTGTTGGCATTGGGCCGATTTTTCACGCCCGGGGATGGCACCCGCCATTCTCCGGCTCCTAAGACGTAGTGGGATGTGGAGCCTGGAGCAGGGCTCTACATCTGAGAGCCCGAGTTTCAATCCCAGCCGGCTTAGCTGTGCACCATGGGACAGTCAGCTTGGCTGCTCAGAGCCCCTACAAATCAAACATCCAAGAGCAAGGGAGCGTAACCTGGGGGACGGGGTCATTTCCAACACGGTGCACGTTGGGAGGAGGTGGTGAAAAATGAGAAGAGCGACCACGGGTGAGACAGGAGACGCACACAGGAAGTACCTCTCGGTAACGGCCAATCAGATCATTGGAACCACCCCACCTCCCCACCGAAGACATGACAAAGGCATCAGAGCGTTACCAAGAGGCAGCACATCAGAGCGTCACTCCCGGAGGCTGAGAAGCAGAGAGGCAAACCCCATGTTCAGGCACGCGTCCATCACCCATGGACAGGGGCCCGTCGGGAAGCGACGGCTGCGGAACAGACCTGTGCTCCTGGCAGCCTTGCAGGTCCAGGGGCAGAGAGGTCAAGGTCACTCCTGCAGGGGTCAGGGTCAACCCATTCCCCCTCTGCTGGGACCCCCACAGGCTGCACCCGCAGAGTAAAGGTGAAGCAGAAGTAAATCCAGGGGCCGGTGCTATGGCATAGCGGGTAAAGCCACTGCCTGCTGTGCCGGCATCCCATATGGGTGCTAGTTCGAGACCTGGCTGCTCCACTTCCGATCCAGCTCTCTGCTATGGTCTGGGAAAGCAGTAGAGGATGGCCCAAGTCCTTGGGCCCCTGCACCTGCATGGGAGACCCAGAAAAAGCTCCTGGATCCTGGCTTCAGATCCACTCAGCTCCAGCCGTTGCAGCCATCTGGGGAGTGAACCAGCAGATGGAAGACCCCTGTCTCTCTCTCTCTCTCTCTCTCTCTCTCTCTCTCTCTCTCTCTCTCTGCCTCTCTGTAACTCTGCCTTTAAATAAATAAGTAAGTAAGTAAATCCAGGCCTTCAGTGAACTTGCAGCCCAGCTCCAAGTCATCTCAGAGGTCCAGGAACCTCAAGCCTTGAATTCGGGTTGAGTGGTCCCACGGGATAAAGCCCCCACTCTCCCAGTGGTAGCAAACAAAATCATCTCTGCAGAAAAAGATGGCTCCAAACCTCAAGGGACTCTCACAGCTGTTTTACAGAATAAAACACATGGATCAAGTGATCAGCCACATGGACGCAAGACACCAAGAACAAGAACAGGCAAAAATAACACCCAACAGAAACTCCTAAAATGCCTTGAGATGCTGGCATTACCCGTCAGCCTCTGTAGACAAGGCTTGTTCACTGTGTTCAAAGATTTAAAGTTTAGAAATTTCAGCAAGACTCTGGAAGCTATGGAAAGTGACAGAGCATATTGCTAAGACCCAAATAGAAGTTCCAGAACTGATAAACAGCAAAAGGTATGAGCTCAGAAGACATGTTTACCAGCAAATGAAACACAGCTAAAGAGAGAATGAGGAAACTGGAAGGTGGGTTGGAAAAAATTAACCAGAGTGCAACAGGAAGAGACAAAGGATGGCAAATACACAAGAGGAGGCAGATACATAAGGCGCTCAGTGGGAAAGGTAACATATGCTTAAAAGACATCACGCAGGGAGGGAGAGCCAGCATTTTAAGAGCTAACATCAGAGAATTTGCCAGAGATGCTACACAGCAAATTCATGAGTTCAAATGAATCTCAAGGGGCTGGCGCTGTGGTGCAGCAGGTTAACACCCTGGCCTGCAGCACCAGCATCCCATGTGGGTGCCGGTTTCAGACCCAGCTGTTCCACTTCTGATCCAACTCTCTGCTATGGCCTGGGAAAGAAGTAGAGGATGGTCCAAGTCCTTGGGCCCCTGCACCCACGTGGGAGACCCGGGAGAAGTTCCTGGCTTCGGCTCAGCTCAGCTCCAGTCATTGCGCCCAACTGGGGAGTGAACCAGTGGATGGAAGACCTCTCTCTCTCTCTCTCTCTCTCTCTCTCTCTCTCTCCTCTCTCTGTGTAAAGATGACTTTCAAATAAATAAATAAATCTTAAAAAAAATGAAAAGCAGAATAAATTTTTCAAAATTCAATGTCTAACATATCACAGTGAAACTACAAAGAAAAATACTGACGAGAGAGAGCGAGCGAGCGAGCAGGCTGGAGTCCGGTGAGAAAGGACTCGGTGATATCCTGGGGGTGTAAGGCCTGAAGTCTCAGGTCTTCATTAGGTGTGGGGGAGGGGCAGGCCACATCTATGGATCTGAAGAGTCAGTGGGTCATTCCAGCTGCAGAATGAATCACAAGCCACCTGAGGAGAGACGAGCTGAGCCGCTGTCCCCATCACAGTGGCCCCGACCTCCCTCTGCTATGAGTGGCCTGGGCTGGCCCACAGCAGGTGAGAGACGAGTGATCCAGGTCATTCTCATCTCCAACAGCTTGCCAACCCCCAGGGGCAGAGCCACATGCAGACCTACAATGGACGGTGGACAAATGAGGAAGCAGGGCTGAGACCAGAACCGCCCAGCTGAGCTCAGACCAAGCTGCCAGGTTTCAGAATCGTGTGTTGGATGACTACTGTCGTGAGCCACAAACTGAGGGGCGGTGTGTCCCACAGCAAGAGTTAACTGACAGAGCAGTAAGATGATGGACGGTGGGAAATACAGAAGTAGGCAGAATTCACGAGTGAATGCCAGGGAAAGGTCTAGAACATTTGAGCTGGGGCGGGCATTTGAGGCCATGGTTAAGCCACTTCTTGCAATGCCTGCAACCCATGTTGGAGTACCTGTTTCAAGTACTCCGCTTCGATCAGGCTCCACTTCTGATCCAGCTTCCTGCCGACAGCACCCCAGGAGGCAGCAGGTGATGGCTCAAGTACTTGGGTCCCAGCTACCCACATGGGAGACCCGGATTGAGCTCTGGGCTCCTGGCTTCAACCTAGCCCAGTCCTGACTGCTGTGGACATTTGGGGAGTAAACTAGCAGATGGAAGATTCTCTATGCACTCCTCTTCAAATAAATACACTTAAAAGAATTTAAAAATATTTGAACCCACAAAGTTGAAAAGCGATTATTTAGACACCAGTGAGGACAGACCGTGCATGAGCTGGGTGTGTGCTCATCGGCGAGAACACGCTGAGGGCGCCACACACGCCCGCAGGTGCACAGCTCAGGTGCAAAGCAGGTGCACCTGTCCTCCAGGACCAACCTGCAGCTTGGTCTCCCGGGTCCTCAGGTCCTCGGCTGTGGCGGCTCTCGTCGCGATGATTCTCACCAGCTTGGAATTTTCCACCTGCAGCCACTGCTCAAAGTCTCTCAGGAGTCGCGACCGCTCTTCGCGGCTGCCTTCTTCCTCCACAAGTAGGTTTGCCTGCAGGAATGCACGTGATCCGAGCATCAGAGGCAGAAAAAGCCCACCGGAACAGAGCTACGCACAGAAATAGACCCATCATGCATTTCGGCTTCTGATCTCTCCTACAGAGGCCACTGCTGGGGCCATCAAGAAGTGCACACTGGTGGCCAGGGATGCCCTCCGCCTCCCGGCAGCCTGGCTCTGCATCCTGGGATCTCTCAATTCTCCCCGCCCCCCGTGGGGTCACAAGAGGAGCAGGCTCACGTGAGACTGGATGTGGCCCCAAGCAGGGAGGGTCCACGCTGGGTGTCCACCCCCGCCCCGCCCCTGCCCCGCCACTGGGTCCGGGCTCCTGCCAGACTCACCCCCCGGCGATGCCTGGGAAGAGGATCCATGGGGTCGATGAGGAACCCAGACTTCGGGATGTTGTTGGTGAAAATCATTTTCTTCCCTGAATCCACTTCGGTCCTCCGCATCTGCCAGTTTCTGATGAGGCTGAGATGACAAAGGCCACGCAGTTACGGCACGGGAAGACCGAGGTCTCCGGGGAGGCAGTGGCCTTGGGACCCCGTGGCTGGCAGGAAGCTTCCGGTAGCCCCTGCGGCTCACAAGTTAGCACCCACCCTCCAGGCTCGCCAGGACGAGCCCATGGCACTCTCCCGTCCGGGTTCCTGCTTCACATTCAAGTCACTAGGTCGTGAGGGTGCACTTGCCCGGGGATACAGAGGCAGAAACAGAGGCCCCAAGCCAAACGGGAGGCCAACTCCCCAGCCAGGGCTGCTTCCAGGCTCTTCCTGCCCCTGCTAAGTCAGTCACCAACCCCGCCCAACCGCGGCACCACACCTAGCACACAGCCCAGCCCCCACCGCCGAGCTCGCCCCAGCTTGGGGGTGGGGGGGAAGCCAGGCGGCCTCTGACCTCAGCAGGCTTTCTTTCCGCAGCTGTAGGCTCTGCCAGGACTCCGCCAGCTCCCGCAGCTCCTCCTGGACCCTGGTGGCCCCCTCCCGGGAAGACTGCTCCAGCACCCGCCGGCCACGCGCTTCGATCAACAGCAGCTGGGCCTCCTTCTCCGGGAAGTCCGCCACCAACCTCTGAGGGACACAGGGGCATGCAGATGCAGTGAGGCCGGGGGCAGGGGGCGCTCTGCTCTGGTGGGACGCAGGGGCAGGTCCCCGGCTGCCTGGAGCAAGCACGTGGTCCACCCCCAAGGGCTCGTGCGGGCGTAGCTTGGTCCCCGGTGCGGTGGTGCCCAGAGCAGGGATGAGCGGGAGGTCTGTGTGTCACTGGGAATGTGGCCTCAGAAGGGATGCATGGAGCTCTCCTGGGACCAGAGTTTGCTCTCGCGAGCGTGAGGTGCTCTCTAGGTGAGCTCTGTGGCTTCCTGTCCGGCCTCCCTCTCTCGCGTGCTCCACGCACTGCGACACCACCCACCTGGAAGGCTCCCGCAGAGCCGGGCGGATGCAGGGGCCAAGCCCTAGGAGCGCCAGACCCTGCCTGAGCTCGCCAAGCCTGCTGCTCTATACAGTAACCAGCCTCCGGGATCTCGTCACGGTGTCGGGGACCACACGAGCACGCTGGCGATCTCACCTCGACCTCGGCCTCTCGGGACGCGGCGTCCCCGGGTTCCGCGTCCCCCTGGTGGGACTCCAGCTTCTGTGCCACCACGGCGATCCACTGGCGCAGCTCCAGTAGCTCCTGGCTGAAGGTGCGGTGCTCCTGCACGCTCTGCCGACACCCGTCCACCAGGTCCTGCGGCACAGCCCACACGGCCCAGGGCGCTCTGAGCGCCGGTGGAGGCAGAGACCCGTGCGCACCACCCCGGCCTGCCTGGGCCCCGGCTGGCCCCACCCACATGTGAGGCTGGTCCTGCCCTCTGCACACCAGGGGCTTCCCGCAGGAAGATCGCGCCCCCCCCCAACACCCCAAGCCTGTCTCCCAGAAACTCCCAGGTCTGGAGTGGGGGAGGGGGTGGAGGAGGTGTTTGTTCCACGGCTGCGATGGACACAGCAACGGGCACAAGCCCTCGCGGAAACCCCTGGTCAGTGTCTTCTGATGCTGGACACGGTGCACCTTGCCACCCAGCCACTGTACTCGGGTTGCAGACCCACCGGAAATGGATCCTGTCTTCATGAGAGGCCCTGCTCTCTGGCTCCAGGAAAGGTGGGCATGGTGCCCCCAGGGGAGGCCTCTCTCCACCCTCCTGGTCACCTAGCCCGGCCCCCTGCATGCCACCCCACCACACCCCCCCCCCCGCACACCACAAGCCGCTCGGACCCCAGGGGCCTGTGTCCTCACTCCTGCTGCGTTCCCCAGTGCAGATCCTCCTGACTCCTGCACACCAGCCCACAGCTGCACCAACACACGGCTGAGATACCCGGCCCACGCTAGGTGCTGGGACCCACGGATGCCATAGCAGTGAGCTCCCACCACCGCCAGCCCCTGGCAGCTCCTGGCCGCCAACCTCAGACCAATGTGGCGCACGGCTCCCCGTGGCACAGAGCTGTGACGGTGAAGATCCCCGGGCTGTGGGGGAGGAGTGCTCTAGAACTTTCTACATGTAACAAGCATTGGGTAGCAAGATGAAGTGGGACGATGTCTCCTGGAAGAAGTGCCTGGCCCGAGAACAGCACCACTGCGCGGCTGCCATGGACGCTGGGTTAGCGCTGCGTCTCACAGCGGCCACTGTCTCCTCCTCTGGCTGCAGTGCTTCCGAGCTGTGCTGACTTGAATGAGGGAGACAGCAGGAAGGTAGGGCTGGCAGAGCCGGCTCCTGCGGGCCCCCGGGTGGTGGGGCCAGGGTCCCACGTCTCCACGCTCCCGCCCTAACCTTGAGACTGCCAGCCACTGTTTGCTATCTTCCGTGTCACTCGGACCAAGGGGTCTCCTCGGTAGTGTTGCATTTGCAGGAAACACAGGGGGGACCCGGGTTGCTGCAGTAATGGTGGGGCGGGGGTGTGCTATGACTCGGACGTCTCCCCAAAATGCACAGGTTGTCAACTCGACCCCCAGTGCAGCAGTGTTGGGGGTGGGGCCTCCGGGGAGGTGTTCAGGTCCGGAGAGCTCTGGCCTGGTTAACGCCTTGAGAGGCCTGGCAGAGCAGCCCTTGGCACACGGGGACAGCGCCGGCTCCTGCATCCGGGCCATCCCAGCCTCCAATTTATTGCTCCAGGGCCGTGAGCAATAAATTCCTGTTATTTATAAGTTACCTAGGCTGCACTGTTGGCTACAGCAGTGCAGTGCACCAAGGTGGGTGTGGGCAGCGGATACTAGGGGTACCCAAAGGAGGGCCGCCGCCCAGCAGTGCCCCCATCCCACCAGGCTTCCCCAGGCCCTCCCAACACCCACAGTGGCAAAATGTCTGTCTGTCAAGACCTGCACGTGGAAGCTGGCCGCAGCTGCCGACACAGAGGCTTCCGCAGCTTCAACAAAGGCGCTGAGTGCTCCAGAGAGACACGGTCGTGAGAGCCGACGGGAAAGCACCTTCAGAGGATGAGTGCCGTACCCAGCCACACCGCCGGCGGCACCGCGGCACAGTGTTGGGCTGTCACGTGGAGGGGGCGCATCCTGGCCACCCCACCAAAGGACGCCACTTTACCATAACGACTTTCATCTCTCTCCTATCACAGTATTTCTGTATATTAGGAATGGGGTGATTTCTACGTGTATTTTGTACAATTCTATGCAATCGTGTAAGTTCTGAGTGGTCCCTGTGGGTGACTCGGGGTATCTGGGAGGCTGAGCCCCGTGGAGGGGAGGTGGGAGCATGTGGCTCAGATGGGCTGCGTGGGCCGGGTGGGGTGGGGAACTCTGCTGCAAGTGTGGCTGCAGGATGCCTCCTTGCACCTGCCTGGTTTTGGAGGACAAGCGTTGGCATAATCGTTCCCCAAACCCCTACAGGGGCTCAGTCCCCAAAGACAGACGTTGGCGATACTAAGAACACAGAAGAATCCAGTGATGGTGACGGGAGGTGGGGCTTCGAGAACTAGGGCATCGGGGCCCCAGGATGGAATGCTGTGGCTTTAGGGACGGAGGGAGTGACCACACACACGACACTCCTCGGTGCTCCCCGGCTCTCGCCACGTGATGGCCTGGCCACCTCGGTTCTCTGCCAGCAGCTGACGGTGAACCCATGGCTGCGTGGCCCTGGACTGTGAACCTCTAGCTCTCTGAATCAAAATTAACCTCTTTGTCAAAACTCAAGTTTGGCTTCCCCTGTGTTTGCCTGCAACAGCGCACAGCCGACTGACACAGCACTCCCCAGGCTTGCCACCAAGGGCGATCAGCACACCATTGAGCCAGCGGCAGGGTGGGGCCTGCGCTGCACACGCCTGGACCTCCGGCTGGAGGTCCACCCTCCAGCTCCATCTGTACTGCCCAAAGGGGCGTCAATTCTGCACAAACACCCAGTGGCCAGTAGGGGCCACTGCAGGCGAGGCTCTGCCCTGCCAGGGCTCCCGGCAGCATGCCTGGGACCCAGTGTGCGCCTGCCTGTTGGCCTTTATTACAAGAAGGAACTGCACATTTACTTGCTTGCTTGCTGAGTGTCTGTTTACACAACCAGCACCTCGCGCCCAGAAGGGTGGGTCTGCAGTGCTGGCTGCACGTGCAGGAGGCACTTGGCAATCATTGAATGCATGGAGACAGAAAGGAGAAGAGGAGAGGGTTGCAAAAGCAGCGGAAGCAAGGTCCAGGGTGGAGATGTCTCTGGGGCTGCCGGGGACCCCCTCGCCCGCCCCTTACCTCCAGGGCCCGCTGCAGGGCCTGGCAGTCGGAGCAGAGCTGGCCCGCTCTCTGCTGGTGGCTGGTGTTCCCCTGTACCAGAGACTGCAGAGCCTCCGCCTGCACGCCCAGCTCCAGCCCTTCTTCCTGCAGCCCCTGCGGGGAGGAAAGGAATGAGGGGGGGGGAGGCTCTCCTTTCTGCCTCCCCATCGCGGAGGCTGAGCAGGGAGGGGGTCTCTAGGTGGGAGAGTCTAGGGTGAGGGGTCACCCAGGATAGCACAGGCCTGTCGTGCACCAGGGGCTGCTCGTGTGGTCAGTCTGATGGGCCTGTTCTCGGAGCAGGTGAGACTTAAAAAGTCAGAAACTGTAGGGCGCCATGAAAGTAAACCCTAAGACCAGACAGCGTCTCTGGACTCTCAGCTGATGGCCACCTCTCTTAAGACGACTCACACCTGTTTTAGCTTTAAAGCCCCAAATGCACCATTCTGAAACTCACTAATGTACGAGCTGCACTTGAGTTTTAAAAGATAACCATTGGGGGCCGGCGCTGTGGCGTAGCAGGTAAAGCCGCCACCTGCAGTGCCAGCATCCCATATGGGAGCCGGTTCAAGTCCCAGCTGCTCCACTTTCGATACAGCTCCCTGCTAATGTGCCTGGGAAAGCAGCGGAGGATGCCCAAGACCTTGGGCCCCTGCACCCACATGGGAGAGACCCAGAGGAAGCTCTTAGCTCCTTGGCTTTAGAACTGGCCAGCCCTGGCCGTTGTGGCCATTTGGGAAGTGAACCCAACGGATGGAAGATTGATCTCCCTCTCTGTAACTCTGACTTTCAAATAAATAAATAAATAATAATAATAAAAAAAAGATCATCATTGTATCGCACGCAACTTGAAAACCAGCAAGGCTCCTTATCCAGCCAATGAGCAGCCTGTCTCCAGGCTCGTGCGTTTGAAAACATACCTGCTTCATCTCTAAATTGATGTATTTAACTGGAGGAATACTTCTGTACTTAAGAATACTTCAGAAAGGGAATTTTTTAAAAAAGTAATTTTAAAAATAAACACCAATGCCAGACTTTGGGACCAAGGAGTAAACACAAGGTTGCTGATCCCAAGAGTCAGCAGGTTGGGGGCCGGCGTTGTGGCACAGTGGGTTAAGCCGCCACCTGTGATGCCGGCATCCCATACGGACACTGGTTCAAGTCCCAGCTGCTCCACTTCTGATCCAGCTCTCTGCTAATGTCCCCGGGTTAAGCAGAGCAAGATGGCCCAGGTACTTGGGACCCTGCACCCACACGGGAGATCCAGAGCTCCTGGCTCCTGGCCCCAGCCTGAGAATGAACGAGCAGATGAGAGCTCTCTCTCTCTCTCTCCCTCTCTCTGTAACTCTGCCTCTCAAATTAATAAATAAATAAATCTTAAGAGAAAGAATCGCAGTTTGGAGGTGCCACAGGCCTCGAGGCCAGGGGCCATCCGTTATAACGGGCAGAGATTCTAGGGAGGTGGCAAGCAGGCACCCAGCCGTCTGGCTCAGCCTGGCTCTGCCGGCTTCTGCTAGACCACGGGCGCCGCTCCTGGGTGTGGCTGAGCGCCTGGGCAGGGGGCACGCGGACCCCACGGGCCCCTCACCTGCAACCTTGACAGCTGGGCCTGCTTTCCAGGAAGGTCCGGCTGAGGCCCGTCCTCGGCTTGGACCCGGGCCTGGAGGTCCAGGAGCTTCCTCTGCAGCGGCTCAAACGCGGCCCCAAAGTCCTTGTGCTGGGCCAGCAAGCTCTGCAGACACAGAACGGGGGCTGCAAGTGAGCGGCTGCCCCCCACCGCCCCCACTCCCCCCACACACACCTGACACCTGTAACCAGGCTGCTCTCATCCCGGCCAGCTCACACTCACGCAGGCGCCACCCCCTCCAGGAAGCCTTCCTGAGCCTCACCTCAGCACCACCACAGCGTGCCCCCTCCCATCACCTCCCAGCCCTCACCAGATCAAGTTTTATGGGAACACGGCTGACCCCATTCACTGGCAGGAGCCACGACTGTCAACCTTCCTGACAAACACGACAGCTTCAGTCTGCCAGCCCTCGCCCTGCCCCAGCCCCTGTAAGTCTGTCTGCACCGCCAGCCTGCAGTGTAGGCATGGGCTTAGGGGGTGGTCGGGAGATAGACGGGCGGCTAGGGAGCGGCCAGAGGAACCCCACACAGTTCACGCACGGGGACACAGCCAGGCCCAGGGCAGCAAGCGACGGGGCTGAGAGGAGAAGCTGGGGCCGCCCGTGTCCCAGGAAGTGGCCTGGCCCTGCAGTGGCTCCCATGCCCCCGTGTCCCAGAAAGTGGCCTGGCCCTGCAGTGGGTGCCCGTGTCCCGGGAAGTGGCCCGGCCCTGCAGTGGCTCCCGTGCCCCCGTGTCCCGGGAAGTGGCCCGGCCCTGCAGTGGCTCCCATGCCCCCGTGTCCCAGGAAGTGGCCTGGCCCTGCAGTGGCTCCCGTGCCCCCATGTCCCAGGAAGTGGCCTGGCCCTGCAGTGGCTCCAGTGCCCGTGTCCCCGTGTCCCAGGAAGTGGCCCGGCCCTGCAGTGGGTGCCCGTATCCCCGGAAGTGGCCTGGCCCTACAGTGGGTGCCCGTGTCCCGGGAAGTGGCCGGGCCCTGTAGTGGCTCCCGTGTCCCCGTGTCCCGGGAAGTGGCCTGGCCCTGCAGTGGCTCCCGTGCCTGTGTCCCGGGAAGTGGCCTGGCCCTGCAGTGGCTCCCGTGCCCGTGCCCCCGTGTCCCAGGAAGTGGCCGGGCCCTGCAGTGGCTCCTGTGCCCGTGTCCCCGTGTCCCGGGAAGTGGCCGGGCCCTGCAGTGGCTCCCGTGCCCCCGTGTCCCGGGAAGCGGCCGGGCCCTGCAGTGGCTCCTGTGCCCGTGTCCCCGTGTCCCGGGAAGTGGCCGGGCCCTGCAGTGGCTCCTGTGCCTGTGTCCCCGTGTCCCGGGAAGTGGCCCGGCCCTACAGTGGGTGCCCATGTCCCAGGAAGTGGCCGGGCCCTGCAGTGGCTCCCGTGCCCGTGCCCCCGTGTCCCGGGAAGTGGCCGGGCCCTGCAGTGGCTCCTGTGCCCGTGTCCCCGTGTCCCGGGAAGTGGCCGGGCCCTGCAGTGGCTCCCGTGCCCCCGTGTCCCGGGAAGCGGCCGGGCCCTGCAGTGGCTCCCGTGCCCGTGTCCCCGTGTCCCGGGAAGTGGCCGGGCCCTGCAGTGGCTCCCGTGCCCCCGTGTCCCGGGAAGCGGCCAGGCCGTGCAGTGGCTCCTGTGCCTGTGTCCCCGTGTCCCGGGAAGTGGCCCGGCCCTACAGTGGGTGCCCGTGTCCCGGGAAGTGGCCGGGCCCTGCAGTGGCTCCCATGCCCGTGTCCCAGGAAGCGGCCGGGCCCTGCAGTGGGTCCCCGTGTCCCAGGAAGTGGCCGGGCCCTGCAGTGGCTCCCGTGCCCGTGTCCCCGTGTCCCGGGAAGCGGCCGGGCCCGGCACACACCCGCGCCGCTCACCTGCAGCTTGCTTTTCCTCTGCAGGAGGCTGTTATGCAGCAGGTCTCGGTCCCGCACCGAGCTCGCTGCCTCCTCCAGGAGGGCCGCCGCCCTGTCGGGGTCACAGACGCCGCCCAGCAGCTCCTTCTTCAGCTGCAGCATGGTCAGCTGCTCTTTCAGGCGAGAGCTTTCCGCCAGGGCCGCCTGCGGGAGGAAGGCCCGCATCAGCCACGGAGCCCGACGCGCCTGGGGAGCCCCGGCTCTGGCTGCCGCTGCCCGGAAGCAGCGCCCGCGGCTGGGAACCAGAGGCTGCATGGGGAGGGTCGGTGGGGCTCCCTGTCACCCCCTCATCGTAGACCGCAGTGCCCCTGGCTTCGCTCACCTGTCCACACAGCCCCGGCTGCCCCCAGAACCAACAGCAGAATCCCACACCTAAGCCAGCTCGGCGCCCTGCTCGGTTACTCCCATCACCAACAGCAACGGGACGTCGTGGATACTTTGAAGGGGGGACGTGGGGGAGCAAGAGCAGAGGGAATTCAGGAGGGCTTCCCAGAGGAGGGGACTCCACAGCAGACTCCTGACGTGTGGGAGCTTGCTAGGCAGAGAGGGCACGGAGTCTCAGGAGCCACCTCGCGTGACGGCAGCTGCCTCCATGCACCCTGACCCTGCACAGCCCAGGCCTCCACCTCCTCCAGGAAGCCTTCCCTCACCCCGTTTCCAGCCCCACAGCCCCGACAGCCTTGCCAAGCGTCGGGCTCCGCTGACTAGTGGCTGTTTGGGGGGCAGCAGCTCTGTTTCTCCACTTGAGGGTCTGGGGTCCTGGAGGCCAGAGGTCTGTCTTAGCTGGCCCAGGTTCTTCCATCCAAACCTGCTGGTTCTTCTGAAAAACCCACTTCAGCAGAGGACTGGCTGGGGGTGGGGGGAGGTCCCAGGGGGCAGGGCCAGTACACAGCCTGGGGTCACACCAGGCTCCCCCCTGCTCCTCAAGAGCTGAGGGTGGCCTTTGCCACTACAAACAAACAGCGTGACATCTCCTGTGCCCTTGGGGCCCTCCGGGCACGGCACCGCGTGCACAGTGCCATGAGGTCTGGGGACCCACCTCAGGACAGTGGCCGAGAGGCTGCCCGCAGCCGCCAGCCGCCCTCGGCCTCCCCAGTGAGCCCCTGTGGGACCCTGGTTACCTCGATCTGGGGCAGGAAGGTGTGGATGGAGGGCGGGTCCGGCAGGCTGGCCGTGACGTCCAGGAGCCGCTGCGCCAGGGCTTTCCACAGCTGCAGATCCTGCAGGGGGCGCTGGAGCCGCTGCCACAGCTGGGCACCCGCCGCGCTGCGCAGCTTGGCACTCTTCCCCTTCAGGCTACAGGGACCCAGGATGGAGGCAGCGGGGTGGGGCTCAGTCCCGGGCCGGGGCCTCTGCCCGCCCTCCGGGTGGGGGCCCAGCCCCGAGTCCCGCCCGCCCTCAGCCTCCTGAGCACCTGTGAAAGTCCTGGATGGCGGTGACCACGGCGTCTGAGAGCGGCTGCAGGTCGTGGGCAGAGCCCAGGAGCTCCTTCAGCTGGGCCTGCAGCCGCTCCACGCGGGGCTCCTCCGAGGCCAGGGCTGCACGCGTGGCCTGCGGCAGGTGACATGGGGGAGGGAGAGGCTCATCAACAGGAGGGGAGGGTGTGCAGGGGTAGGGGGCGGGTTCGGCTGGCAGGGATGGGCCAAGCTGGCAGAAAACTGTCACCAAGAGCAGGGACCGGGACCCCAAGCCTGGAGCCTGGGTCCCCTCTCCCGCCTCTGACTCCGTGACCTGGAGCTTGGCCTTGCCCGTAGCTGGCTTCACCCTCTACCACCCCCACCCACAGCACTGTGATGGGGAGTCCCGGCCCTAACGATTCATGCAGGGACACAGACCCTGTGGCAGGGGCCCAAGGCTTCCTGGGAAGGCAGAGTTCCATATCCCCGCTTACACCCAGGGAGCAGGGCCCCAGAGGGGCCTGGGGGGCCACAGAGCCCAGAACCCAGACCTGACCCCCAGGGCCCCGAAACCGAGCTGTGCCGCCACGCTGTCTGCACCGTGCTGCTGCCTGGGAGATTCGTGCCGGGACCACCCCCAGGCTGCTTCACTTCCCTGCATCCAGACCCTCCGACACAGCGCCTCCCGAGGTCCTGGCACCTTAGGAGGTCGACCGTGACCAGCAGGATGCCCCGCCCACCTCGCTGGGCTCGTTATCAACCATTTTTAAGATTTATTTTATTTATTTATTTGGAAGGCGGAGTTAGAGAGAGAGGGAGAGACAGAGAAACAGAAAGAGAAAGAAGATCTTCATCTGCTGTTTCACTCCCCAAATGACTGCAAGAGCCAGGCCCAAGCCAGGAGCCAGGAGCTTCCTCTGGGTCTCCCACACGGGTGCAGGGGCCCAAGCACTTGGGTCATCTGCCACTGCCTTCCCAGGCACATTAGCAGGGGGCTAAATCAGAAGTGGAACAGCTGGGACTTGGAACAGGCACCCATACAGGATGCTGGCACCGCAGGGGGAGGTTTAACCCTCTGCACCTCAGCGCCAGCCCCCACGGTCAATGGCTCAAGCTCAAGGCACAAAGCCCCAAGAGGGGAACTTTAGGCAGTGGCTGGGGCAATGGGGGCCACCATGGAGGCAGCAGGACAGAGTCTGCCTGGCCAGTCCCGTCCTCCGTCAGTCACTGCAATGGATGTTCCGTTAGGCAGCAACGTCATGACCTCTGCAAAGACAGGTGGTGCACGTGAGCTGGCGGTGGGCAACCCACGCGTGAAGACGGCCCACCCGGTGGTGCCCGGGGGGGCTTCACCCCTCACCGTCCCATGGAACACACGGTAGCACGACTTCCCGACACGTGCTAGTCTAAGCTCCTGTTCTGGTCTCTGTGTCATTATTCCCTCTGCACACATTACCAAGGCTAAAGTAATTCTCAAAGCCAACCAGGGAGCAGGGAGAGGACCCAAGCCTTGAAGCCAGGCAGCCGGGGCCCAAAGCGACGGCCCTCAGCCGCAGCACCACACCACCTCCCGTGGCCGGGAGGGCGGCGATGCTCAGAGCAGCGAGGACTTTGCAGGAAGGGGGTCCCGCGGGGTGATCTGAATGAGAATCCTCGTTTCCACCCACAGATCAACGTTTGCAACAAGATGAGGAGAGAGAGGGAAAGGAGACCCATGGCCACAGAGTGGAGGAAAGAGCTGGGCGGGACTTTCAGAGACATCTTCGTAAATGGAATGGTGAGACCGAGTTAACAACAAATAAAGATGGAGGACAAGAGAGGGTTGTGGCTCCTTATTTTGAAACCCTTGGGGCAGATGTCTGGCACAGTGGCTAAGGTGCTGCTTGGGAGGCTGGTGCTGTGGCACAGCAGGTAAAGGTGCTGCCTGCGATGCCAGCATCCCACAAGGGCACTGGTTTGAGACCCGGCTGTTCTACTTCCGATCCAGCTCCCTGCCCGGGAAAGCAACAGAGGACAGTCCAAGTGCTTGGGCCCCTGCATCCATGTGCGAGACCTAGAAGCTCCTGGCTTCAGCCTGGCTCAGCCCTAGCTGTTGCAGCCATCTGGAGAATGAACCAGTGGATGGAAGATTCTCTCTCTCTCTCTCTGTAACTCTGATTTTCAAATAAATAAATAAATATTCTTTAAAAAAAGAGAAAGGTGCTTTTTGCAATGCCCATGCTCCACACTGTAGTGCCTGGGTTCAAGTCCCAGTTCCACTCCTGATTCCTGATTCCAGCTTCCAGCTACTGCACACCCTGGAGGCAACACATGATGGGTCCCTGCCACCCATGTCGGGGACCCAGACTGAGTTCGTGGCTCCTGGCTTCAGCCTGGTTTGCATTTGGGGAATGAGCCAGCAGGTGGGAGATATCTCCCCCCGCCTCATCCATCTTGCGCTCTCCCTCTCTTTATAAAGAAATTAAAATAGATATGTAAACAAATATAAAAGCTCTCTGTACCTACAAGGGCAGCCCCTGCAGTGCACATGGGGTGGCGCCTGTCCCAGTGGCTGTCCCCTCCCCTCGGGAACCAGCACCCTGTGCGTGGCCTCCCCAGCCCTGTGGTGTGTGGGACTCGACGTCTCGACACCCAGAGCTTCCCCGCTGAGCTGGCAGTCTGGCTGTACACGGAGGAATCCCACGCCTCACCCACCACGGGGCAAGGGAATGGCTTCGAGGTCCAGACTCGGCTGCCCGTTCCCCCTCCGGTCTTACTTCCTCACCGACTCACCGCGTGATCCTGGGGGTACTGGAAAATCATCTCCCCCCACCTCAATGTCTTCATCCAGAAAATGGGGATAAACACCCAACTTGTCTGTGACCCCATCCAGAAACAGCCACAGTGCAGGGGGCCAGAGCGAGCGAGCTCAGGGCTGCGAGACGGCAGCCTGGATCGCCCCGCGGCTTACCGAGCAGCGTCGCCAGTGCGCCAGCAGCTCGTCCTCGGTCCCTGCCCTCGCTGCGGGCTCCAGGCCCTCCTGGGCCAGCCCGTGAAGGCGCTTCCGGAACTCTGCCAGCTCGGTCTCCAGCTGCCGGACCCGCAGCTCGCAGGCCCCCTCGGCCTGGAGCAGGCCCCGCAGCCGCGCCTCCTCCTCCTCCCAGAGCAGCCGCAGCTTCTCCAGAACCTTCCGCATGTCGTCCAGCTCGCCGGCCACCTTCTCCGCTCCCAGGGGAGAGGTGTTCCGGATGACGCCCGCCGACTGCTCTTGCAGCCTCTGCAGAGAGTCCTCTCCCCTGGGGAAGTCTTTGGTGATGTCCTGGGGTGGGGAGAGGCAGGGGTGAGGGGGAAGGGATGGACAGGAGAGGAAAAGCAAGCGTTCACCGCACGGCCCACAGTGGACCTGGCTGTCCCGATCCCAGCCACAGCCAGAGGGCCCCTCTGCGGGGTGCGCCTGCAGCAGAGACAGGCATCCGTCCTCAGTCTCCCCCAGCCTTCTGATCAGGTGAAGGAGGAAGACCCCGTCAGATGAGTCTCCACCCTTGGGTTTGGCTGATCCTTGCTAAATCTCAGGCTCAGAGCCTCTGACTGGCCATGGGCTGGCACCACACAGAGCCTGTTGCTGCCCTGTGGTTTCTCTGCACGGTCACCTCCTATGAACGAGCATTGGTTTTGCCATTTTCAAAAGTCACATGGGTTTACTTTCTAAATAGAAGTTCACCTGTGGGGCTAACACTGTGGCGTAGCAGGTAAAGCCACTGCCAGCAATCCATATGGACGTCGGTTCAAGTCCCAGCTGCTACACTTCCCATCCAGCTCTCTGCTATGGCCTGGGAAAGCAGTAGAAGATGGCCCAAGTGCTTGGGCCCCTGCACCTGCCTGGGAGACCTGGAAGAAGCTCCTGGCTTCAGATCAGCGCAGCTCCAGCCATTGCGGACAACTAGGGAGTGAACCAGTGGATGGAAGACCTCTCTCTCTGTCTTTCTTCTCTGTGTGTGTGTGTAACTCTGAGTTTCAAATAAATAAATAAATCTTTTTTAAAAAAAGTTCACCCGTGTTTTTTAAAGTGAGCCAACGCAAATCCACATATTAAACACACAGGTGCTGTCCAGAGGATCGTCCGCTTCTCCCTGGACAGAGGGACCTGAGGCTCACTCAGGCCACACAGCACGTGGGAGGGGCCAGGGCAGACCCAGCTCCTCCGGCTGCAGCCCTGGTGCCCCTATGGGTCATAATTCCTGTCATGGAGCTGCCCTGTGCTCGGCAGGATGGGCAGCAGCACTGGCACCCCCACTCCAGGCTGGGAGTCCCCACCCCCCGCTGTGACCAACAAAGCCACCTCCCGCTCAGGCGCCCTGGTCTGGACCACGCTGCTGTGGCCCTGCACTCCTCCGTGGTTCCCCTTACGGGCGCCCCGTGCACTGTGGGTGTGCACATCTCCAGGGCCCCCAGTGCCGTCCTATTAAACCACGGTACCATACAGCTCTCTGTCCAGGTATACCCCCCTCGGCGGGCCCTGGGGCCCCTCTAGGGGAGGCCCGGCTGGGGTTACCTGCAGTGCCGAGAGGCGGTGCGCGGGGCTCAGCTTGCGGTTCCGCCCCAGGCAGCTGTGCGCCTTCTCCACCACCGCCTGCAGCCACAGCTGGAACTCGTCCACATTCGCCTGGTACTGCTCGTGCTCCTGGGCCACCTGTGCCAGCAGGTGCACCCGTTCCTGCAGGACGGGGAGAGCCACCAGCCATGAGGGCCCCTGGCCCAGGCTGCCCCTGGGCTTTGAGGCCAGGAAACCCACAGCCCGAGTGTGTATGGTGGGCGTCGGGGAGGGGGCTTCCAGCCCTCAGAGTGCTTGGGACAGAGATCCAGACGCTGGGCTGCAGCTGGAGGCACCGGCTCGGAGGCCGAAGTGTGAGGACACCGGGCCTGTCAGCCACACAGCTCAGGTCCTGGGAAGGCCACTCGGGGAGGCACAGTGACAGCATTGCTACACAATACCACCCGCCCACCGCGGTGCGGGCCCTGCTCAGTGAACCTGACCTCCATGACCTCACTGACCGCCCCATCAGCCGGCACTGTCATCACCCAGGCTGACAGGTGAGGACACAGGGAGGTGACGCGACTCGCCCACGGCCCCCGGCTAGGAAAGCGCCGAGACTCAGAGCCAGGAGGCAAGGGTGCCCACGGCACTTCTGTGCTGTCACGGAGTCTGCAGGGGGTGCGAGCAGACACTGGCTGCCCCCTGCCCACTCAGGGATGGTCACCGTGTGGGCTGGCAGCAGCTCCGGGATGGATCTTCAGGAAGTCCACGGAGAAGGCACATTACGACAAATGCATGGATTCCAAAAAGCTCTGCATCGAAGTAAACCTATCTTTTAATGCCACTTCCGGCGTATTTCTCAGCCAGTCCCACTGAAGGTCTAATCACAACATGATGTCTTGGGGGCGGCTGGAATTTGGGGAGACAAGGGTATCCCCGCTGTGTAAGACCCACTGTGCTTGAGACCCTGCTTTTTAAAACACCCTGAGCATGGTGCTCACTCCATGCAGCCCCCCGCGGCCCCTGACCTCCCCCAGGCTCAAGTCCAAGCGGCACAAACCCTGGTGACCGAGGCCAGGTCTGCCTGATGTCACTCTGTGGTCCAGTAGTCAAGACCCTGGCTATAGCCGGCGCCGCGGCTCACTAGGCTAATCCCCCGCCTAGCGGCGCCGGCACACCGGGTTCTAGTCCCGGTCGGGGCGCCGGATTCTGTCCCGGTTGCTCCTCTTCCAGGCCAGCTCTCTGCTGTGGCCAGGGAGTGCAGTGGAAGATGGCCCAGGTGCTTGGGCCCTGCACCCCATGGGAGACCAGGAGAAGCACCTGGCTCCTGCCTTCGGATCAGCGCGGCGCGCCGGCCGCAGCGGCCATTGGAGGGTGAACCAACGGCAAAAGGAAGACCCTTCTTTTTTGTCTCTCTCTCTCACTGTCCACCCTGCCTGTCAAAAATAAATAAATGAATAAAAATTAAAAAAAATTTTTTAAAAAGTTTTAAAAAGACCCTGGCTTAGGAGGCCATTTCCTGGGGCTTGAACCCTGGCCCCACCTTGGGCACAGCGTGAACCCTCTGGGCACGGGCCTCCCTGTCTGTGTGGGATCCACCACACCAGCCTCGCTGGTGCCTCCTTCCCATGGGGTAGTTTGCCGCCATCAAAGCCCTCCCAGGGTGTGTGGACACGTAGTCCCGCGTGAAGTCGACCCTTGGGACACCTGCATCCCACATCCGAGTGATTCCAGCGTCTGCCACTCCGCTCTGAGCCAGCTTCCCGCTGATGTCAACTCTGGGGGACAGCAAATGACGGCTCGAGTGCTAGGACCCATCCTGCACTGAGTTCCTGGCTGCTGGCTTCAGCCTGGCCCAGCCCTGGCTGTTGGAGGCATTTGAGGAAAGAACCAGTGGAAGGAAGATTGATCGATCAATCGATCGCTCTCTCTCTCTCTCCACTTTTCAAATAAAATGAAAATAAACAAAAGTAAACCCTCCCGAGCCTCCCTCAGCCCCAGGAAGGGCTCGCCCAGGAAGCACACAGAGAGGAAGAACAAGTGGGCACGGAGCGGCTGCCGACCGAGCCAGGAAGGCGCGCGTCCCACCCACCCCCACCGCCAAGCGCGGCTCTGCAGGGCTGAACAGCCAGGTGCTGGCACCAGCCAAGGCCAGAGTAAATAAAGGCCCCAGCGACAAGGAGCAGGCACGCGTGAGGACCCAGGGCCAGGCGGGCAGGCAGCCAGCCACAGCGTGTGCCAGGCGCGGCCGTCTCAGAGCCGCGGTGCAGGGCGGCAGGATGACGATGGGGGTGCTCCACCTCCTCGTCAGACCAAACAATTAAGCCGTCAGCGATGACAAAACCCAACCTGGCTCGCTGGCCTGGGTTCCTGCCTCTGCCCAGAGCCGCATGGGCAGCGAGGTCCAGGCCGAGGTGTGGGACAAGCACACATCTGTGATGGATGGAACGGGAGCATCCGATTCAAAGCACACAAGCTATGACCTCCGGGCGACCGCCACCCTGTCTCTGCAGCACCCCCACTCCCACCCCCTCCCCCACCATGGTTTCACTGACCTGGGGTCAACCACAGCCTCAAAACACCAAACTGAAATTCCCGAAATAAACAACACACGACTTCTAAATCCACACAGTTCAGAGTAAGGGACGGACTACTGCAGCCCCTGCTGCTTCTCCCCAGGACGTGAGCCAACCCCGGGCAGCGTAGCCGCGTCCTGTGAGCTGCCCACCGGCTGTCACTTTGCAGCCATCTTGGTGACCAGCCAGGCTGTGGCTGCACCACCGGACTTGTGTCCTGGTAACCTGTGCGGTGCAGGAGCAGGGAGAGGCCCCCAGAAGCTACGGGCACTTCCTTTCTGTGTGCAGGTGGCCATTTATCTGAGGCGTGTGTGCAGAGGAAGCGCACGGCGCGGCTGGGGCTCAGTGTAACCGTGGTTCCGAGGGGCTGCTTCAGGGAGAATGGTGCTGTCGCCCACCTCCACGCTTGGCCTGCTGTCCCCTGGAAGCACCTCCCTCTGGGGCGGCCCTCCCCACCACACGGGGGGCTTTGCCAATGAACAAGCTGGACATCTGTAGGTGCAGACGGCACCCCGCTAGCTTGTATGTGGATCGCGGGACACGGCTCTCCTAGGTGAGAGGGAGTACAGCATCGACACACGCGACCCCCAGGGTCGTCCCCCCATGGGGCCCTCGCCCTGTCCCTGAGGCGGATCGTCCTTGAGAAAGTCTTTGGTGCAAGCCGAGGGGCTCACCAAGGCTGCAGGGCAGTGGGCAGGAGGCAGCTGTGCCATGTGGCTCCTGGGGAGCTCTGGACACATGGTGCTCCCCTCCCCGCCGGGAGGGGCCCGCGCATGCCCTTCTCCCCGGAGCTGGCAGCTGGGGTGGCCCCAGAGGCCGATATCTGGGTGGGGAAGTGAAAGTCTGTGGGGAGGGCGGAGTGACTTTTCATCTTCTCAAGGTCATGGGGTCCCCTGGGACCTCCTGGCTCCAGACACACACACACACGAACACGAACACACACATATATACTCACACACACACACACAAACACACATACAATGAACACATACATACACACATACGAATACACCCACATATATACTCTCACACATACACACACATGAACACACATATACTCTCACACATGAACACACACACATGAAGGCACACACATATATATATATATTCACACACAGACACACACACCAGCCACGTCCCATCTCCGTGCCTCTGTACCCTGGACTAGGGGCTCCCTGTTTAGCACAGGCACCTGTTGCCTACGGAGCCAGGACCAGCAGGCTATGAGGCTCCGCCCCATCCAGGCCAACTGTTGAACCTGCCCCGCAGGGCCGCAGCAGGACCGCGTGGTGGCATCTGCATGAGACCCATCCCCATCCTGACCACCCCTCTGGCCCCTGTGCAGCTGCCCCGGGAACCTCCTGTCACTCCCCTCTGGGGCCCCGGGGCTGGCTGGGGGGTGGAGCTCTCTTCATTCAATAAATAGCTCTCAGCACCTGCTGCGCCTGGCCCTGTTGTGCTATTTATTCCCACTGCCTCTGAGAGCAGAGAGCGTCCTCGATCGGGAGCGTGCTGCCGGTTCTCAGAGAGCTCCGGTAGCTCATTCAGCCCCGACAACCTGGTTACAGGTCGGGGAGCTGCCCCAAGGCCACGTGGCTGGGCAGCCCTGGCGCCTGGCCCCAACCCAGGTCCCTTCCCACGCAGTCAGCAGCCGGAGTCCTGCTCCTGCTGGATTCCCTGCCTCTGTTTCTTCCGGAACACGATCTCCCCTAACTTAGCAATGTGAGGGACCCCGCAGACCACCACCAGCAGCACCACAGTGGGCTACGCGACCTGAACACCTGCCCTTGCAGCCAGCCAGGAGTGCTGGGAAAATGCACACCCAGTGCCCCCGAGGTGAGGGCTCACCCAGAGACCACGAGTACAGGCGTCATGGGCACCGGGCCATCAAACTCACACGAGAGCCTGACGTCAGCTATTGGAGGCCTGGGGGGAATGCTGGGCTGGCACAGGGCTTTGGTCCCGGAGGAAGCGGAGACCACTGAAAAGGGGAGGACCTTCGAGTGCCCCCACTCCACGCCCCTAAAGGGCAAAGCAGAAAACAGTCTTTCCAGAGACAAGGAAGCTTGTGTGTCGGCCTGGGCTTCGGCAAACAAACCGGCCGACTTCCAGAACACGCAGCCGGGGGCCAAATGCATCCCTTCAGTGTGGGGTTCATGTTCAGGGCCCTAGCTCAACTCAGGGACTCCCAAATGTGTACGCTGACCCAGAGGGCAACTTCGCAGGGGAGCCAGGCGGGAGCTCATGCAAAGCCACGGGCAGGCCAAGACCCAGCCACGGGGTTCTGCGAGATGAGTTCACGGCTCAAAATTACGAAGCCCAGGGCTGGCGTTGTGGCAAACGAGTTAAGCCACTGTCTGAGACACTGGCATCCCATGTCAGCGCCAGTTCAGGTCCTGGCTGCTCCACTTCTGATCCCGCACCCCGCTAATGCTAAGGGGGCCCTGCCACCCGGATGAAGTTCCTGGCTCCTGGCTGCGGCCTGGCCCAGACATTTGGGGGCTGAACTGGCAGATGGAAACTCTCTTTCTCCCTGTCTCTCTGCACTCTGCCTTTCAAATAAATAAAATAGATCTTGGCTTAAAAAGTGGCAAAGCCCCTAAGGAACTGTCCACCAAGTCAGGAGACACAACACACGACAGTATCAGACCTTGGGACGTCAGCCGCTGGGACCCCCTGAGACGGCCACACACAAGCCTGGGGTGACTGTGAAAGCACCCTCTGTCTGGGAGGAATGCACAGCCCGCCAGAGAGGACACGGCCCTAAAGAACAGCAGGTGGGCACAGACTCTACCGATTTCACCGAACACCTCAATGAACCGTTTAAAAACCAAGGCAGGAATGAGGTGGAGGAACGCACAGAACTGGCAGAGGGGCCAGGGGGTGGGCGAGAGAGCAGAGGAAGGGAGGGGGAAGGGGAGGGGGAACGAGGAGGGAGGAGAGGAAGGGAGCAGCACAGAGCCTCCGCCCGTCGGCCAGTGCACGCAGATTCAGCACCCTGTGTGCAGGACACCGCACACACCGGACGTATGGACGGCAGATGTCGCCGGGACGGGTGGGCGGGTGGTGGTGGCAGGGTGACTGGGCGGGTACATGGGAGACTGGAGGATGAGCAATCAGGTGGCAGGGAGATGAGCAGGTGGATGATGGAGAGGGGAATGTGTGGGTAAGGAGGGGGTGGCTCAGTGAGTGAGCAGACAGATGGGGAGCGAGTGATTACGTGGCCGAGCAGGAGACTGGTTAGGCCAGTGGGGGAGGCGGACGGAAGGGAGCACAGAGGGACGGGGCGGGGTGGACGGAGGTGGTTGGGTGGGTGAGGAGACGGGCAGGCAGTGAATGGGAGTTTGATAGTTTAGTGGGACATGGACGGGTGAGCAGTGGGTGGACGGGAGGAGGAGGAGAATGGGTGAGGAGATGGACGAAGGAGCGTGGACAGGTGGGAGGCGAGAACCCCCAAGCCTCACCTGGGCCTTGGCCTTCACGGCGTCGTATTCAGCCTGCATCCTCTTCTGGGCCCCCTCGTCCACGCTGGGGTCCCCGATCCTGTTGAAGAGGGAGGCCGCCTCCTCCAGCAGCCGCTCCAGGAGCACGGCCTGGTGGTCCACGTTTTGCAGCAGCACCTGGGCGTGGCTCAGCTGCCACTGCTTCTCCTGCAGCCCGAGCTGCAGCTCCACGGGCGGCTCCAGCGTGACCGTCATCTTCTGGAACCAGCGGTAGAACTCATCCTGGGCCAGCAGGTACTCACTCCAGTGCAGCCACACCCACTCAATGCGGCTGTGGGCAGAGACCACGGGGCCGTGAGGGACCTGGCCGGGAGCCACGCGTCTGCCGCCCCCCAGTGTGGACAGGACATGATGACGTCACGTCTGCCTTGGAGTCGCCTGGGCAGCTGGGGAGCACTAGATTCTGGGCCTCACTACATCCAACAGGGTCGGACCCTCCTTGCTACAGGTGAACTCCCTGGTGAGGCTCAGATTCCAGACGCCCCTGAGAACCGCCCGCCTGGGTGATGAGCTGGCGAGCCCTTAGCCGCCAACACCCAAACCCTGGCCCTGAACTCCCACTACTGCTGCACGGATACCCCCAGTCACTTCTCTGTGGCATTGCAACTCTGAACACAGTGACACCTGGCCCTTAGCACATGCATGGAGGAGCCTGCTTGCAGAGGACAACAGCATCTGTGGGCTTGGTGCCCCCAGTGGAGAAAGGGAGCTGGGAGCCTGCATGTGGGTTCCAGGGGTGCTGTGACCTTGCAGTGCAACTGTGCCCTTGAACCCGCCTCGGTTTCCCCGCCTGTAACGGAACACAGCAATGGCCCTATTTCCCCAGCCAGCGTCAAGCCACCTTGCAAGGGTGTCAGGTGGGAAGGTCTGGGAAGCACAAAGTTCTGTGCAAACCCATCCTCGTCTCATGCACGGCCTTGCCACACAGAGAAGCCACGGCAAAGGCAGCTCGGGGCTCCTGAGGGCCCGGCGGGTGCCTCACCCCGACGTCTACCATCCCCATCTTCCTCACGGCCTCCAGGGGGCGCTGGATTACTCCCCTGGCTTCAGGTGCGGGACTCATGGCCTCCAGGGAAGTAACCAGCAAGGCAAGTCAATGGCAGGTCTGAGTCTCTGCTCCCTACCCCGCCCCCAACCCTAGCCCAGCTCCCTGGTGCAGGCAGAGAAGCCAGGCTGCGGTGCTCACGGCACACAGCTGTCCGGCTATTCTCGGCTGGTCTATTAGGCACTGTTGGCAAACACGCTGGGCTCCCAGTGTCCCAATCCTCATTAAGCGTGATGCTAATGAGAGGCAGCAGGGCTGGCCTGAGTCCCAAGGGAACATCCTGCCCCCAGGGATCCCAGGACTGCCGCGGTGTCCCTTGGGTCAAGGCCCCTGGCCAGCACGGTGGTGGACAAGGAGGGCCCTGGCCAGGTCCCCCGCCCCGGCCCCTTACCTGTGACAGTGAGTCATATAGGTGACCGTCTCCTCCCACTGGGCCTTGATGTCCCTCAGCTGGGCCAGGACCTCAGGCTTCTGGTCTTCATGGCAGCAGGCCAGCAAGGCTTCCGCCGCACCCAGCACCAGGTCCACCTTCACGCGCCCCTCGGGCTCCAGCCGGCAGATTTTCTGTGGTGGGCACGAAGTGAGGCACAAGGCAAAATGCAGACGGGCCTGGCCTGGTGAGGACGGTGGCCTCGAACAGGGAGCTGGGACTGTGAGGCCGCAGGTGCTGGGCTCAGGATGCAGCCCCTGCACCCGGTCTGTGACTTTGGACAACCTGCTGATGGCTCAGAGGGCAGGGGGCAGGAGGCAGGAGCCGCGGGCGTGGGCGCAGGACTGCCCACTGCTGTTCAAGGAGAGTGAGTGCCCTCACCCCCTGCCATGCCCCTTTCCTGCTGAGAACTCAGACAAGTCCCCGCTCTGCTCGGACTCGGTTTTCCCACCTGCAGAATGGGGGCCTTCCTTAGGAGCACACACGGCTCAGCTACTTTTTCAGGGATGGGGAAACGCGTGTGAAACCCCCATCACCGTGCGTGCAGCCACAAGGCTCCCCCCAGGGCCACGCCCCCAGCCCTGCACCTGCTCCCACAGGTGACCAAGAGGCAGGGGGCGGCCGTGTCTCCTGCAGGGTGACTCAAGGACACCCCGTGGCCTCGCCAGGCTCCCCCGAACCTCACGGAGGTCTGAGATGCTCCCTCCAACTGTCCCGTCCCAGCTCCCCCTGCCTATCCCTGCGTCCACTTAGCTCATCTCTGCTGGCTTCCCCCACTCCTCCCTCTTCTCTCTCAGGGCGGGGGCCTCCCCTAATAAACGTATTGACCAACTAATCACAGTCAAGGTCAGCCTTTGCCGTTCCTGGTTGTTGGTGGCGGCAGCCAAAGCGTGGTCTCTGCAGTGGAAAACGACCAGATCCCAATCCCAGGACCACCTCGCCCACCTGCATGACCTCCGTCACGGGACTTAAGGCCGAAGCAATGAGGAGAGAGTGACTGCTCTCTGCCCAGGGGGACAGCGAGCACTAGTGATGCGGGGAGTCCCTGCAGGCTGCCCGGCCACGCTGCGTGCTCATTGGCTCAGATTCGTGTTTGTATTATCTTCTACTTCCCTTCGGATCTGCACTCACACGGTTGCCTGGAGCTCAGGCCTAAGCCCCCAGCCTGTCTCCTTGGGGGCAGGCGGTCAGCCTTCTCAGACCAATGTCCGGTGGTCTCAGACCCTTCCCTGTGGAGGGGTAGGGGAGAGGCTCCTGCCTGCCACGGGCCGCCCTGCTGACAGCCACGTGGGTCTGGATCACTCCAGGACTCTGGGTCTCCTGTCCTCACCTGGAGGCAGCGGTCACCACACCTGCTTGGTCTACCACACTGGGTTGTGATACGCATTTAGAAATATCGCTAACGGGGGCCGGTGCTGTGGTGCAGCAGGTGAAGCCATCAGCATCCGGCATCGCCGGGAACCTGCCAGGGACGCAGACTCCCGGACAACACCTGGACCTGATCAGAACCTGCATTTAAGCACCCCCCCCCCCCCCCGGAGATCTGCACACAGAGCAGAGGTTGAGAAACATGCGGCTCGTCTACCCCTTCCATCTAACAGGTGGGAACACGGAGGAGCGGGAGGCACGGGGGAGGATCGCACAGCCACCGGGGCCACACCCCTGCGTACCTCTGTCTCCCGCAGCCGAGCCTCCAGGGCGGCGCGGGGCCCCTGGGTGTTGTCATTGATGTGCAGCCGCTCGTGCACCGCCTTCATCCACTCCTGGGCGTCCAGCACGCTCCTGTGGAAGTCCTCCAGGCTCATGGCACCTGCAGGGGCTGCGCAAGCACCACACGAGGTCAGGCACACAGGCAGGGGTGCAGGGGCTGCAGGGCGCACACAGCTGGGATGGGCCTGCCCCCTGCGCCCCGCCAGCACCCCTCCTGGAACTCCCAGATGGGCAACACAGCCAGAGGCAAGTGAGACAGGAGGACAGATCTGGCCACCCTCACCATGGAGCTGGGGGTGCGGGTCCTGGCAGAGATTCCCCTGGGCCGCTCAGGCCACCCCGCTCCCCTGTTCCCTCGGCTTGAGGCCTGGGGCGCTGCTTGCCCACTACCTGAGGTTGGCGGCCCCAGGAGATGATCTCAGATTCACGGTCTGAGACTCGGGACCCCCAGTGATTCCTGATGTGAACCAACCAAGGAGGCCTCAACCTAAGGAACACAGCTTTTGGCATGGGCCAAGCCAGCAGCAGCCTGGGCCCCACCCAAGATCACCCTCTGGGGCACGGATGGTCGTGTCAGCTGGTGGGCTGTCCACTTCTCCACCAACTGGGGTCCATGGCACACATTGCTAATTGTTGTATTTGAATGCTGAGTGGCCCTATCGGCCTACATGTTAAAGATCTGATTCCGGTGCTGCGGTGTAGCAGGCAAAGCTGCTGTCTGTGGTGCCAGCCTCCCCTATGGGTGCCAGTTTGAGAGCCGGCTGCTCCACTTCTGATCCAGCTCCCTGCTGATGTGCCTGGGAAAGCAGCAGAAGATGGCCCAGGTCCTTGGGCCCTGCACCCATGTGGGAGAACCAGAAGAAGCTCCTAGCTTCTGCCTTCAGACCAGCCCAGCTCTGGCTATTGCAACCATTTTGGGAGTGAATCAGCAGATGGAAGATCTCTCTCTCTCTCTTAAACTCTGCCTTTCAGGTAAATAAATAAAAAGAAAGAAAGAAAGAAAGAAAGAAAGAAAGAAAGAAAGAAAGAAAGAAAGAAAGAAAGAAAGAAAGAAAGAGAGAGGTCTGATTCCCAGGTAGCATTATTGGGAGGTGAGGAAACTTCTAGAAGGTGGGCCAAGTGGGAGGTCCTATGGTCATGAGGGCGTGTCCTCAGAAAGGAGCTCTCCAAGAGGGTTGTTGTGAAAGCCTGGGTTTGGGCCCAGCCCCCTCTCTGCTCCTGGTTTGCCACATGAGCCTCTGCCCCCGGGGCTGGCCCCAGCCTGCATCATGGCTGCTTGGGCATCCAAAGCCGTGCACTGCATCACCCTGCCTGCCCCTCCCAGCTGGTCCAGCTCAGCTATTTCCTTCTGGAGACAGCGCTGGCTGATCCAGCAGGGTCTCCCACCCAGCCACCCACCCAGCCACCAGCCCACGTCCCAGGACTCAAGCAACTGACCCAAGCGTGACACGAAACCAGCTACGGCTCCTGCCCAGCAAGACCGTCCCCTCTTCCCCTCTGAGAAACGGCCCGCCCACCCCTCGCCTTCCCCGGGCTGGGCCGCAAAGGCTCAGGTTTTGTCACGTGACTGAGTTAAAATCCCATTAAGACCAGGCGAAGTTCTTCGTGCTGCTGCCCGAGCCGTCGGCTTAACGGCCACCATGGAAGCTATTTATAGCTGCGCCGGCTGTGCGGGCACGGTCTGGCCTCTCTGCCGGGCTCCTGCAAGGCCTTGCACAGTGAGCCCAACGTAGTGGACGCAGCCCAGACGGGGACAACCCCAAACTCCCCCCAGCATTATTTAAAATGCAAATCCACAGAGAATAAGAAAGAACCCAAGTGCCCAGTGCTGCTAGGTGATGACAGCACTCTCGCGGTTTGGATTTGTACAGCCAACAAAACCTAAGCTTGGGGCAGGCGTTGTGGCACAGTGGGTTAGAGTGAAACACAGGACTCCCGGCATCCAGCCCTGGCTGCTCCACTTCCAATTCAGCTCCCTGCTAATGCGCCCCGAAAGGCAGTGGATGATGGCCCAAGTTTTTGGGCCCTGCCACCCATATAGGAGACCAGGATGGAGCTTCAGGTTCCTGGCTTCAGCCTGACCCAGCCCCAGCCATTGTGGCCATTTGGGGACTGAACCAGCACACAGAAGATCTCTCTCTGTCACTCTGTCTTTCAAATCAATAAGCAAATAAATTTTTTTAAAAATAATCTTAAAAACAAATGCACCGAAGGAGCATTCTGAGAAAATATTAATGCCAGAAAGTGAGACAAAATGACATGCTTAGTAGTGACAACTCCACAACTAAGGTCAGCGACACAGGCAACAAAAAGCCAGGCTTCTGGTTGGGAAAAAGGCTGGGGAAGCTTGCCACGAGGGGGAGGGGCCACGTGACTGACCCAGAGCCAGGGCTGTGGGCAGAAGGGACTTGGCCCCACACACACCCCAAGTGACCCTCAGGCCTTGGAGGTCACATGGTTAAGGATGATGTTGGGGGGAGGGGGGTGCAGGGAAACTGGTGGGATGCTTTTTCCCACTTTCACTTTCTCTTAAGAACATGTCCAGAATTTTCCAGAAAGGGCCTCTTAACACTGGGACTCTTAACATCTCTTAACATTGGCTGCACTGTGTGTGGGCCCCTTCATCTCAGCCGCGGGTGCATTGTTTTGCAAGCTTGTGTGGGGAGGCTGGGCACGCAGCCCGGCTCCTCGGGGGGGCGACGTGGAGCAGGTGGCTCTTGTGCGCTTTCACAGCTGCCCTCCTCCCTAACCAAAGGTGTGGTCTGCAGCCACGCCCTGGTTTTGCATCCTCTCTGAAAAGCAGGAGAGCACGCGCAGGCGTTCGAACTGCCCCTCTCTAGTGCGCAGGCGTTTGAACTGCTCCTCTCTAGCGTGCGACTTGCCTGCCTTCCAGAAGTCCGGCTTTTATTTAATAAAGCAAGAAGTGGGGGTGGGGGGCAGAAGGGAGTCTCAGATGATGGGCAGCGACCACAGGGGCGGCCAACGGGGCACGGCAGCCAGCGGAGCGGAGCAGAGCAGGCTCACAGAGGGCCGCGGGAGGCTGGGGCCGAGTCCGGAGTCCCGGGCCTCTCGGCCTGCTCCGCTGCACCTCACGGAGACACAGGAATCGAGCCCAGGCCCTGAGCAGCCGGCGCCGCGGCCACAGCAGCAGAGACTGCTGGGGCGGGGACGTGGCGAAGGCGGCTCTGGGGACGTCCGTATCCCGAACCGCAGCGCCTGGGTTTGAGTCCCCGCTCTGCCCCCGATTCCGGCTTCCTGCTCATGTGCACCCTGGGACGCAGCAGTGAGCACAAGCGGTTGGGTCCCTGCCACCCATGGGAGAGGCCTTAACTGGGCTCTCAGCTCCTGGCTCTGTCCCAGACCTGGCTGTTGGGAGCAGCTGAAGAATGAACAAGCAGGTGGGGATGGGGGTGCTCACTGGGTGTTTCTCTGGGTGTCTGATGATGAGGATGATGAGGATAATAACAATAACAATATACAGCAGGCAGGCACCATCCCTGATCCAGACAGCTCTCAGGAGGAGGGATGAGCCGCACACGGACCTGTGAGTGGCTGCAGGCAGGTGCGCTGCGAGCCAGGATAGAGGGGAGGGGCAACTTTCTCTCGGAACCCACTTCTCAGAACAAAGGCTTGAAATGCAGAGAATTCAAGGAAACCGATCATTAAGACCCAGCTATGGAATCCTAAAACTCACACACACACATTTCATTAACACATTAAATCCCAAGCTCTACCAATGGGCCTCCCGAGCACTGCAATTCTGAGTGGGAGATGTGCCTAAGGGCATTTCAGGGTATCTATCAACTGCACGCACCCTGAAACAGGGGTGACAATGTTCCAGGCACTCTGGAGACTGGAAGGGACTCTGCTTGTTCACGTCTCATGGCTAACTGCAGACAACTCTCTCAGCTGGAAGTGAGAGGCAACGAAGATGAAGCCAGTTGGCTACCCAAGTTCATGGGCCCCCAACTCCTCTCTGTGGGCCTCTGTCAGTCCACGGTCCCCAAGGAAGGGTCGTGCTAGCAGCCAGTGGATGCAGGAGCCTGCTCCCTTACAGAGCTGGCAGTTAGAAAGGGGCCCAGAAAACCCACGTACGGTTGACATAAACACCAGGAAATCATCCTCCTTAAGTGTCCCCCACCAGAAGCTTACAGGGACCTCCTGGCCTGGTCCCTTCTAGAATCAGAGACATGGAGGAGGACAGACTGACACGGCCAGGTGAGCGGGGGCTGGCACATCCCCCCATGAATGAAGCAGCTGGGTCCCCAGGAACTCAAATCACCTCCCCCTCACCACCCCTCAAGGCGGCAGCCTGGGAAATGGTGGAAGAAGCTGGGGTGGGGGCAGGGGCCAGATCAAAGCCTCAGGAGCCACATCCAGGATGTCGGACTTGACCCTGAGGGGAGCTGGCAAGGGTCCAGGCAGGTCCCTGGGGCCCGGGCGGGTGGAGAGGGAGCACTGGAGGCAGCACAGGGAACAGCCGTGGCCCCGGCCAAGGACAGGTAGGGCTGCACGACCAGCACGGCCGCACGTGTCTGGGGAGCCTGAATTCTCAGCTTTGGGTGAGTTAAGTGCAAAGAGCGTTTTACACAAAATGGAACTAAGGGCTTCCAAACCAAAGCAAGCGGCTCCGGGGAACATCCCCGGGGCGGGGGTGCCAGAGGCAGGACACAGGGCCCTGGGTGTGTTCTGGAGCCGCGCCCGCTGGGTCAGGGGCGGGCTGGCCCTGGTCTGCTGGATGGGATGGCCAGGAAGGAAGCAGCCTTCGGTGTCAGCACCAAAACCCTTGTGGGAATTTAACTGCCATTGTTACCAGCAAGGAGGGGTGGGCCTCCGAGGTGTGACTAAGTCAGGAGCCCATGAAGGCTGAAGCCAGCATCCATGGAGGGCGTGGGCTATTGTCACAGAGCGGGGTCCTGAACAGGGATGGGGTCGCCACCTTTCCCCCTTCTTAGACGGGTTCTTCACCAACACCTGACGCCCCCCACTGCGTTACGATGCTGCAGAAGACCCTCGCCAGACGCCGGCACCATTGCTCTTGGACCTCCCAGCTCCAGAACTCTGAGCCATAAATCTAGATTCCTTATAAATTCCCCAGGCTCAGGTGGG